GACATTGCCATGTCTTCCTCTGTTTAAAAAAAAACAAAAAAAAAACACCACCCATCCTGTTTCTCTGCTTGTGATAATGCAGCACTGAGCTGTAGTTATAACGCCTGGGCTACAAATAGCAAAGCAGCCTGGCTCTCCAATGCCCTCTATATGAATTATTTACTTGTCTGTCTGTGTTGATGCACAGCTGTGGGCTGTCTGAGCCCGCACAGCAGAAAACACTGTCGTCTCACACGCTAATACTTAAACACACACAGAACGGAAACTCCTGTAATCTGATCCAGTAGTTTCTGGCCTGGCCCACACCTGTCACCAGGAGAAAATGGAGACAGTCGGCAAGAGCTGATGAGGTGTTTTTTATTTTTATTTTTATTTTTATTTAATCCTATTTAATCTCCATCCTGACTATTTAAACAGGTGGTTTCATTAAAATTTTGATCTCTTTTTCAAGAGAGACCTGTGTATAATGATAAACATATACAGTTTAGGTATGGAAAGACACACAGATGTTAGTGTACATTAAGAAAAGCAATTAAAAGTAGAATTGCTTCAAGTGAAAGTAGTGATTCTAGTTTAAACATTTTTCCATTGATAAGGACTATAAGGCCTTATTTAAACCATCTATGGCTTATTGTTCAAGTTGACTTGGGTGTATCCAACTCTACTTTTGCTAGTTTATTTTATAGTACCAGGAGATTTAAATAATTGATGAAGTCAAGCTTCTGTGCCTTGTGCAGAAATGCGCACAGCTCTTAATGGTGAGATTCTTACTATCTGAATAATGCACCCTTTAAATATCAGAAAAGTAGTACACCATTGACTTCATACCAGGTTTTGATAGTCAGTGTTGCCATCAGTTTCTGCTGCCTCATGATAACAATGAGCCAACAATATGCCTGACCACACCTCATTTTAAGACCAACACTCCCATGGGTGCACAGATAGATGGGCACAAGTGCGTTTGCTACATACACAATGTGGGCACTGGACACTGGACGTAACAACTGCATCAGTTGGAAACTAGCGATGACACTTGCTGGCGGCGGGTGGAAGATGAAGCACATATTATTTGAAAGTAGATATTCCAAGCTCAGTGTAAACATGCAATACTACTAGTTTAAAATATTCTGACTTGACATTGTAAGTACTGGATTTATATGAGACCAGAGAGCAGAGTTTTTGTAGTAGAGCCTTATAGATAAATATGACACATTGCAACTCCTGTCAATTGAACATGTGCAGTCGAGGAAGGGAGAGTTATTTGCCCCAGCAAAACTCGTATCTCTGATTATTTATGTTAAGAATCAGGGAACTGGTTGATTTGTCACCCTGTATAGACACTGTTAAGGAAAACAATTTTAAAAAATTATATAAATAAATATGCAGTACTCCCCATTTTAATGTGTGCTACTCAGGTGTGTAATTGTTGATGAACGCCTCTTTCCCTTACTAGCTGAAGCCAGAGATGGAGCGATATGAGTGGGTGGTGATCCGCCACCCCGAGTTAGCCTCCTCCATCAAGACTGATGGCCAGGAAGACATAGCCTCGTCTGGGGGCCAAAGTGCAGACAATGGCTTACAGCAGCCAGAAAAACCTGCTGGAGACCTGTCGCCCTTCCTATCCGCCCGCCACTTCAACCTTAACTCCAAGAATACTTCCATGTTCATGGCTGGCAACTTCGACTCTATCATAGTTGGTGAGTGGATTATTACTGTAAGTTAATGTTTTGCCTTTGTCATTTCTAGTCCCTTTTTTTTTTATGTGGTAGGTACATTGGACTTGAGGATATTTAACTTTCATTTACAACCTGGGAAGAAAATCTGGATATTAGTGTTAGCCTTTCATCACATTGAACTCTACATTTAGATTTTAACAATGAATTCGAAGGCTGGATTTTTAAAAGTGGAAACCATTTGAAGAAATGCAGTCTTTGTACTTAGTGACAACTTATACAAACCATGTGCTCTTGTGTCTGATCAGGGGGAGGTGAAGGCAACGCTCTCTACATTGACTCTGAGCTCAACCATGGGCGCACTGGCAGGTGCACCACCTTTGACAACCCGCCCCTGTGTGCTGACAGCTTCCAGGTTTCACTGCTAGAAGTGTGGGGCTTCCAGGATGCCATGGCCTCGTAATGCTGTTCACGTACATGCATGTAGATCCATACATGCGCGTGTGTGTGTGTGTGTGTGTGTGTGTGTGTGTGTGTGTGTGTGTGTGTATGTATGTATGTATACACATAAATGACAACACTTAAACATATTAAAGCAGAAAATCTTCATATAAAATGTCCAGCAAAGTGTTTCAGGTGGAAAACACAGAAATGCAAACAGAACTACATCCGTCCTGCTAATTCATATGTGATTAACTATTTTCAATTAAATTGTATTTATTAATGCATATATTCCAAATTTCAACATGTGAACAAAATTGTGATTATTTTTTTTTTTTGTTTGTGTGTTTTTCTGTTTATTTTTGTATTCACAGATTTGTATTATGATGTACTAATGTTAAAATACCTGGTAATAAGAAGGAAGTGTTCAGGATCAACTCTAGATTTATGTTCATCCTGAGCTGAAACTTTTGAATTTCTGAATGTAAATTCAGTCTTTTAATTTCTGTGGTTCTGCTCAATCTGCCAAATTTACTATATATGTAGCTCTGTAGTCCTTAAATGTTAAAATGTTATTTACCAGGCCATGTTGATAAGCTGAGGTTTACGATCATCAAAAGTTGTGAAGTTAAGAGATGATTTGGTGAGACCTGTTTTTATATGTTGGAATACTTAAAAGACATAGTGAATATGTACCAGGTGAGCTCGAATTTTGGTCAAGTCATGTTGCATTTTCCCACACGTTTTGATTTGCTGTACATATGTGGGAGATCTGATAAATGAATTAACGTGGTAAATGTTTGTGGATATCAGTGATGAATTTGAGTGTTGCCATTTTGCACCATGCGTCAATGCTTCCTTTTGAATGTGTTCCTCCTTTTTGTGTAGTATATGAATATTCATGTGAATAACAGTACAACATTTTTAAAGAAAAACTCAAGGTGTTTTTGGTTTACAAGTAATGGCAATAAGTGCAGGTTGTTCATTTTTTTTCTTCTTATGATTTTCCTCTTCCTTCCGTCCTTTCCAGTGTGAAGATAGTATCAAAAGAAGTCCAAACTTTCGCCCCGTTGGCAAAGTGTTGTTGGGTATACCCTATTTGTGTCTGTGTGTTCAAATGTGCTCCAGTAAAATATCAATTGAGTAACTACAAATGTATTCTATATATTAAAATACAGCAATATGCTTTCAGTAGCAAAGTGACTCAGTCTTCATTTTGTTGTCTTGCTACCCTGCTTTTTTCCCTTCCAAATCTGTCACATCTCTGTCCCTGCAGCCAGATGGTAACATTTCTTCAGACTTTCACAGAAGTTTGCCAGATGCCTTTTTAAACTCAGCTGACCATGAATATACCCCCCTAATCCCTACCTTGTGTTTTGCTCTACTCCTAGTAGTTACAGCTAGTATGCTTGTTCCCAAAATTACTTTTATACAAATATTACAAAAAGAAAATTAAATAGTATAGTAAATACACGCACAGTTTGTTTTCTGTGTACCTTTAATACCAAAAACTAATTTTAAAGTTTTAAAAGATCTTGTCTTTAAAGAAAAACAATTCTAGTTTGAGCAGGTATGTGAAATGATAATGTTGCAAATTACATCTACAGTAGGCATAGGTCTGGGTCTGAAACACTAACAGTGTGACTACTAAATAACTCATACACTCTTCTTGATGCACACTGTCTATATTTTGCTTGGATGTCTTGTGGATGTCTCCTTTGTGGAAGCTGACAGTAAACTGCATGACTGGAAAATATTTAGCAGAGATGAGTCAGACATACTTACAAATATGTTTTTGAACGCCTTGTCCTTTTTAAGAAGCAGCTGTATTCCACTATTCACTTAATTGAACTCATTGTTAGATTTCACCGCAGGCACTGTATTTACTACACACAGTGCAAACTTGGCAACTGACAGTTAGCAGCTGATATCCTCAGATTTTTTTTTCAGACATTTAAGCATGTGGAAAAGCATTCCATGTCAATCGATGCTGATACTGTGCATTGAAGCTCTATAAAAATGTATGGACAATTAATTTGCAGTGCGTGTCGCACACAGCCTAATGCATGTGAAGAAATTTGAGTATCCTTGATGGCAAAGTGGTGGAGTAATTCCTTCTTTGCATGCAGTAAGTGGCATTGACTGCATCATGCCAAGGCTGTGCTTTTCATTCAGGATTCACACTCTGCTAATCGCACATGCAGGTCTATATTTAGCTGCTCCTTTGGGTGTTGATCCGGCGCATCTTCTGAAAACCATGCTTTCCAGGCTCTAGGAGTAAGATGCTCAAGTGTTTAACCCTACACTAAGATGGGTCTGTCCTTGACCAGCAACCCCCCCCCCCCCCCCCCCCCACAGATAACAAGAGGCTGTGGACCGGGGACTTAAGAGACAGACGAAGGAGGTCCCAACAAATATTGTTTTGATTCACTGAATATTACAATGCGGATACTGGGAGAGAGCGAGATCTCTGCTTCCAATGAACACCCAGTGTTAGAAATGTGACTTATGGACTGTTCTTCTCTCCTTCAAAATTACTAATAATACTTTTCATTATTTTTTTTCAGGCTAATTTCATAGGAAAGTAAAGATTTGTTACTAATGCAGGATTAAAACTCTTCCATTTCCACAACATTTGCATTTTTTTAATTATTGGAAAATTATTCAAAGTTTTTCATCCCAGTGAGAATGAAAGAGTTATGTTTTTGGTCACACACTGAAACCAGTCCACATGGGAGGAAAATAGCTCCTTGACTTCCTTTATTTAGATGCTGGGCAAATCGTACACATGGTAGGACTGTGTAGGGTTACATCTTGGTCTGATCATATATCAATGTACCAGAACCACGTGAAGATTAATGATCTAGATCTAGAATCACATCAACCATGTTTCCTGTATATCTAGAATTGCATTATACTGTACATTAATAATTAGTAGCAAATGCTTTATGTTACTAGTACCATGATCTAATCATGTCCTCGTGAGAAATTCTCACAGTTTCCTCTTTCCCTTCCTTAAACAGCATCTTAAAGACCAGCAATCAAATGTGCCCTGTTCTAATGCTCCTCTTTTACAAGGTCAGTGGCACCCAAGGACAAAAGCATCCACGTAAGCCTTGTATCGTTCCACCTAAAACAAACAGAAAACAACAATGTGCATGTATGTAAATGCAGTATCACATTACTGCTAGTTGTCAAATGAGCTGTTTGAAAATATCTGCTGAGTATATATCCCAGACAGGAACATCATAATCCAACCTCAACAGAAAGGCCACATCCAAATCCACCTAAAAGTGTCAGTCCTGGGTCAATAAGTGTTCAGTCAGTCAGCAGAGAGAGAGAAAACTAGATGAAAAATCATCTCATCTCATATGTTATGACCTTTTTGTAATCAATGCATCACTGCACACGCGTGCGTGCGTGCACACACACACACACACACACACACAATACTCATGCCTCAAAGTGATCTATTCTTTTTGCATAATGCAACCTTGGATTTGGAAGCCGGAGTAAGATGTTGGCCAAGTATTTGAAAGGAAGGAGGCCTGTGATGCTGGTGTAGAAATTGCATCACGAGTGATTTACAGTGGTGTGGGGGGAGGGGTCCATCTCTGATGCTGACTAGACTAGGCAATGCAGAGGGAGCAGGATGGAGGGATGGATGGATGAAGAGGAGGAGGAGGCATAGGGCCTGCACAAGCTCTGAATGACTCACACACACAGAGAGACACTTCATCTCTCCATGGCTCATCCCTAGCTCAGTTGACCCCTCCCCTCTCTGGATCTCTCAGCCTGCACTTGCTGGGAGCTATACAGTGGATTGGGGATTCTCCCCATTCCCTCCCCCCACCATGTAAGCAACATACCCATGCACACTCAGCCTCAAATTCTCTCACTCTCACGCTCCAGGTTGTAGAATATCACAATTGAGTGTTAATGACCTTCTGCAGCATGGTAGAGTCGTGGTGCAAAATGCAGAAATGTGTTTGAAAATATGCAACATTATGAATTTCAGTATTTGGAGAGGTCACTTTAATCAACTATGGGGTTCTCTTGGAGCGTGACATTCATATTACATTTAGTCTAACTGGCATGATGTCCTTGGACATTTAAATGAAGATAGCACACAAACACACTGTTTCTTTAGATTAGCATGTCTCTACACCCTCTTGCTAATTTCCATCTTTCATCCTCCGACTTTTGAAGGGTGAATGCGTAGACGTCAAAGGGGAAGCCTGCAGCGGAGCACACCAAAGTGATGCCTTATAGGGGTGACCTTAAACATTTTTATTTAAAGAAACAACAATATAAAATACTTTTGCCCGGAATAAGTCGTGTATCATTTTAAATCCACACTTCTTGTTTCAAAAATACCTTGTGTAGCACAGTGAATCATTAACGTACTTAATTTAAGTGCGCCCCCCACACCCAGGCGATCATAGGTTTTATCCGTACGGCCAGTCAGGTGATATTTTCCGCGTCGCCATTTTGTACTGCTGCTGCGCCGGGTATTTATCAGAAGAGTCGTGACTATCCCGTTTACACTGCTAGTTAGTTGATCAGACGGTTCCTGGTGTACTCAGTTTTTCATTTCAATCCTGTGGCCTTCAATTGGTTTCGCAAAGTGCGATTCTTGAGTCGACATTAATAATTAATTTTGTATATTTTTATATTTTGTGAGAAAGAATGTCGGCCGAAAGCCCCGAATACTCTCCTTTCTTCGCAGTGATGGGAGCCTCTGCGGCTATGGTGTTCAGCGGTAATTATGACACGATTACCTTTCATATTTAAGCTGTACAAAATGTCGTTTTGTGCATTTCCTGCTAACCCATTTTACTTGTATATCATAACCAACAGGGTGCTTTGAACTGACAACCGTTGTGCATCTCTTGAAGCTCACTTGTTAAAGCGCTAGCCTTTGCTAACGTCAACGCAATGCTTAACGTTATCTTGTAATTTATTTAGACAGCTAACGTTAGCTAGGGCAAGCACTGACTTTGGTGTATTTTTAACATGGAAATGTTAAGTTGGTGTTATTTGGTTGAGACAGTCATCGCTACTAGTCTTTCTGCTGCAACGACAGACATCAAAGACTAGTCAAGACTAGTTAGCCAGCTGATGACGACTACATTAGTTAGCTTTGACGTTAGCTTAACCATAGTTTGGTTAGGTAACGTAATGCTTTATCTGAATGGAAAGAACTAAACGGGGAATGATGCTAACTGATCAGAAGATGTTTTGTTAAAGCGGTGCTGTTTGTCTAATAGTCCTTTTTATAAAAGGGTCAAAGTATATTCCCTTTAATTCTCACAGTTGGCTGCTTGTTAGCCTGCTGTACTTAGCAGGAGGTAACGTTAACGTATAATTAGGTTGATTCCCACATTTTTCTGCACGATTAACGTTACAGAGTATAAAGGTGCTAAAAGCAATAGGTTATATCGACGAAATTATTATCATTATTTTATTACTATTAACATAGCTTAAACATAGAGGAACGTCATTCATGACATAAACATTAATTGACATCGTTCTGTGTTAACTGTTTGCCATTCAACAACAATTTGTGATCTGTCAAATCGGTCCTGTCACAGCTAATTTAATGCAAGTTATCTTGAGCAGAAAACCTTAAAAACTCAAATTACTATTGGAAACTAGGATCAGCTGGTTAACTTCCTTATTGCTAGAAGGAATGGCACAAGGTCACATGATGACCACATGATGAGACTTCTGACTTAGAATTGCCATGGTCTTGCTGATCTCGAAATGTTAGTATAAATTCAAAAGTTAGCAGTGAACCTGTTCAAAACAATATAGATAATTTGGACAAAAAATGAAGGGTGTGACACTGCGGTTAATATCTGTTTTTGGATAGATAGGTGTTCAGCGGCAGATAAAGGTCACTTTCAAAGAAAATGAATTTTGGAAACTGGCTTGTTTTATCGTACTTGTTTATATGGATCATAGTTGGTTTTTATGGATCCTTTGTTTTTCATTTTATTATTGGACTTTCGTTAATCCAAGAAAACCACGACATCATATGCCAGTGATGTGCTTTATCATGTGACCGGGTGGGATGGGTGCAATTTCAGTGGAAATCAACGAGCTACTAATTGACCATGTTACAGAGGGTTTGACCCCCTGTAGCTCGTTGCCTTTTGGCAAATGGGCTCATTGATGATGGTGAATGGTACATATGTTTTCACTGAGGGAGATCATCAGTGACTGGCTATGGTGTAAGACTTCCACCTTTCCTTTTGTCTTCAAAAATGTACACATCTTTCAACCTATTTAATGGACAAAGAGCGAAACGCATCCCCATCATGATATAAAAACATCCCATGATATATAACTATTTTTTAAATTTATTTTTTTATTGCCCAGCCTGAAATGAGAAGCAGCTGGAAGCCAAAGCCAACCCTGGTCTTGTCAGGGCTCAGGTTTAATGTGTAGTGAGGGCAGCATGGTGGTAGTGGCCCTTGAGGATAGCAGTAGTACTAGTGTGGTGGTGAAAGAGTGACAGCTGGTGAATTAGCTAGTAGGGAGGGGATCACGCTTGCACACAGAAGGGAAGTGGTAGTGGTGGGATGCACAGCTTTAAGGATCTTAACAGTGTGTTATGGGAGTTATTGACAGGACACTATAGCTTGTGCTTCTATGATGATGCACTTTAGGGTAGGACTACAGCTGCAGTTAACGTTTACTGTCATCAGTCAATCTGTCATTTGAAAGTTTGAGCCATTATTCAGTCTGTAAAATATCAAAATAATGACAAATTCAAATTACAAGTTCTTGCCCAAGAGGATGGCTCAAATTTCTCACTTAATCAACAGTTTATAAACCCAAATGGCACTATGTTGCAGTAAATAATTAGCCATTTTCTGGAACAGAATGAAAGTATCTGTTATCTCCTGGTGTCAGGTGATGTTACATTGTTTCACTAGTGTGGTGATGGTGTCCTGTTGTGAGGACGGACTGTAGTCAGGCCTGCTTCTGGATAGTGACCCTCACAAGTTGTCATTATCCATGAGCTTAGGACCACCACCTCCGTGATAGCTGTACTACAGTTGTTTCCCCCACCCCTTTTAACAAAAAGTGTGAAATGTTTTTATTTAAGTAGTGAAAAGTATAAGGCTGACACTTATATCTTAGATAACTGACATGACTGATACATTTCCTCATCTTTATCTCTTGCTCTCCAGCGTCTGCCTTCATTTACAATTGTTGGCATGTATGTTTGGAGTAGGATAGCCTGTTAACTATAATTTTTTTTCTTCTTGTTAATTAATCAACAATGCTTTCAACTGCTTGACCGTTAGTTCACTTTCACATTGTCTTTCTCTTGAACACGCACTGGAGAGGTGTACTAGGTGACTGCAGCAAAAATGCTGTAGACATCCCTCAGCTTCAGATGCAATAGATTGCTCAGTGAGTCTCATTCCTTCCTTCCTTTAAATTTTTAAACCGTGTAGGCTACAGCCAGCATGCAGTTCTGTGAGACAGACATTTTTTACTATGACCTTCCTGATTTTTGTTTTTTCATTTGTTCCTTAAAACTAGTGCTTCCCGATTCACCCACTGTTTAGAGCAGGCCAATCAGCTGTCTTCTGCGTGGGCATATTGCATGCTAGATCATCCCTAGCTGGAGGCACCTCCTGCTCTGACATCACAAGACGTCACAAGGGCATCCCATACATCAAATATTCTGCAGGGAGGAAAAAAGAAAAGGGGTAAAAGCTCTTTACCTAAGCTGAGGGGATTAGGATTAAAACCCAGAGGTTGTGCCTCTGCACCGCTGCAGAAGCTGCCTTGCTACATAATAAACCTTTACTCATCAGCACAGATTGGCAATGTTTGAGGACTCCAGTGTTTCTCTGTCAACAGTCACCTGTCACACCTCAATGAGGCCAAGCTTACCAAGAAAGAATGGAGTCGAAGGATAACGTTACTGACGGTAACATATTATGCTGGTTGTTTTTGGATGGCTGAATGGCTAAAAGACACCGCTGTTCAGAGGGTTAGGTGTTTCCAGAATAATGTCCTAGAGGCGTTTTTGTATAGTTATATTACAAGATTTGTTTTTGAAAAACTATCTGCTACTCTCTTCGTTGGACAGTTTTTCTATTGAACCGCTGATGGAGGTTGCGTGTCCTTCCTCATGTAGGTATAAGTCTATTTGTTGAATGTGATGTACCACATAGCTTGTGTTGGATTTAAATACTGGTAATTAAGTCCACCGGCACAAAGGTTAGCACTTCCACAAAGTCAAAACAAAAAGTCTAAAAGACCATCTTTCTTGTGAAATTGGCAAGGCTTGCAAAACAATGCCCAGTTGTGCTCAAACATGTCTCCTTTAGATGGGTGGGATTGATTTAACCTTGTATTGATAGCATCAGTCTGATGATAAATCAGTTTAAGTAGTTGGGGCTGTGGCTGTTGCTGACTGCCATGTGCACATTTAAAGATTGGCCTGCCTCATCTTCCTGTCTGCCTCTAGATCCATTTGCCAGAAAGCCTCCCAGCTCGTCTTAAAGTTAACCAGAATTTCTTCAGGCTAGCTCCACACATTGTTCCAAGAAATGAGAGCACAGGGCAGGGCACCTCAGGCTGTATGCAAAAGGCAATCTCCCAAGATGATATCTTGAGACTTTTAACATTTAATCATCAGTACATTTGTTATGAAGAGGCAAGAAAACCACTTTACACCAATGGTATAACAAGATGAGCACATTAATTGGATGCATTTTTGATTTCTTTTAATATTGCTTTGCAGGATAGTTGATGTTTTACCCTGTTAAAGGGGTGTACCGTATAATATTGTTCACAAGATACTGGTATCACTTTTAATATGTATGTAATATGTCAATAATATAATTATCTCAAATAACCTAAAATATTGTGATCGTATTTGAGAGCCATATTGCCCACCCCTACCCTGTTGCATAAGTTTTACTGACTGGTACGTGGCTGTTTTGACATTGTCACAAATTGCATACAAGCAACAGCTAGTTTCAACATGTTTTGTTAATACGACAGACAGGATCTGTTTAGATTAGTGTTCAAGTTTGGCCTAGTTTCATGCAGGGACCGGGTCCAATTTGATCTGGAGTTTGTTTTCTGAAAAAGGAACTGCTTCTGATGCATTTACTGAAGCGCCAATCTACAATCCTGCATTGAGTTTAATTTGTTTGTTGTTGTTTGTTTTTGGAAGAAGGAATAAACTTGTTCACATTTACACACGCATGTGTGCACACACTTCTCATGTTGAGGAAATCTTGTCAAACCAGCCTGTCCATGATACATGACACACTGCCCTGCTCTGATAGGCTTTGTTGGATATTGCAGAAGCTTTTGTTGGTCTAATCTGAAGACATGGGACGTTTTTTTCTTATCCAAATCTAATGTTTAGGGATAGAGTGTGTCGTAGGCTATACAGATTGTAAAGCCCTTGAGGCTGATTTGTGATATTGCTATATAAAGTTGACTTGACTCTTTGCAGAATTATAACCAGTTCTTAATGGATGGTTGGTGCTCTATATTTCATTTCATATAGTTTCTAATTTTAGTGCAGTGCTCATTAATTTCCTATTTCACTCCACTCCTGCAGTCAGACTTGATTGTGTGTGACATAGGTGGCACTGTGCTTTCTCCCACACAGGCCCACAGAGGTAATACGCTGATGAAGCTTTTTGTTCTCCTCCTTCCCCCGTCACACTACAGATGCTAGCTAGAGACCAGTGCGCCCCCCCCCCCCCCCCCCCCCCCCCCCGCCCCGCCCATCCTGTACTGATGTTGTTTCTGTAGATATGGTAACCTGCTTCTCTAATGATGTCAGCAGCAGTTCCCTGTGTGCTCAAGCGTTATGAGGCTTTTTCATTCATTCAGTGATTTACAATCTGCAGAATCAAACTTAAATTATAAGGGCTGAAGCTGTTTGAGGAGATGAGACGCAGCTGATGAGATGAGACACACAAACGCACAGCTGATTTTTGGTTACATTGTATCGGTGTCAAGGATCAGTAATTTCCCTTTTGACACCAGCAAAATTCCCCAAGTGGAGCCATGTTGGATTTTTAAGGGGAACAGAAACTGTAACAGTCGTCGTACTGTTGTGGCATCTTTCTATTTCACTTCCGCTTCATTATTCACCTGCATTCTCTGGGTTCCGTTGTCAGTCTGCTAGCCTATTGTAACATGCGTCTAGTTTAACTAAAGTTATCTTCTCCCTCTTCCCTGCCAGCCTTGGGAGCAGCTTATGGCACAGCTAAGAGCGGTACGGGGATCGCCGCCATGTCCGTGATGAGGCCGGAGCTCATCATGAAGTCAATCATCCCCGTGGTCATGGCGGGTATCATAGCCATCTACGGCCTGGTAGTAGCAGTGTTGATTGCCAACAACATCTCAGAGAAGGTCACCCTCTACAAGTGAGTACAGTTGACCAGCTATATTTTCAGACATCTGTTGTGTACATTTTCTGCCCGTTTATTTGTCAACACATCTCCCAAGACAAGGTTTTTATTCTGTAGCAAAATTGAGTAGGAAAGGCGATTTTAAGGCAGTGGTAATATGGCCTTGTCACTTGTGGCATAAGCCACTACAAAAACAGTAAACAATTGCATAGACACATGTGTTACTTAAGCATTTTATTATCAACAAAGCCCCACCGACATTGAATTCTTCCTACTAACCCACCGCCCTGATTTAGCTCCATTATCCACCAGATCCATTAATCATAAACCATCAAACTCATGAGAGCCATTCTTTGCACTGAAAGGCATATACAAGAGGTGTGAGTCACTGGCCCCACGGTTTGATTCGATTACTATTTCACCTGTCAGGGATTTGAATGTATGATGATTCGCAGTGCATCTCGATGATTAGCATCCTCAGGTTTCCATATTACATTGTACATGGTAACTTTATCATTAATTAATAAAAGTAGTCAGATAATCTGAAGTCTTTAATTTAGAATGTGCTTTCAAAAGCCAGATTACAACAGTCTACAATACAAAAAGCTGCATCTTTTCAATACCAGTATCTGTGTGACTCACCTCAGTACATAAACCTCTCTCAGATGGCAAAGTTGACTGCGCCATGTTAATTCTTGATCAATTAGCTGGGCTGGCTGTATTATTTTTTGTTGGATTTAAAAATAGTGTGTGCATTTTTTTTTAGCGCTCACAGCTGATCTCTACCTCCCTTCGCCATATCCCCATTCATATAAAAGTAATGTTAGCCTAACGTTCACCCATAATTCAATGCAAGAGAGCGATGTTGCAAGTAACATGTAACTTAACAACTTTATTGTCCAGCCAAGGCCGGAAAATCAACACTCAACTTAAGTAGCCTATAATTTTGTGTAGGTTGCAAACTCCTGATTATGTTTGGTCACTGCTTTGATGCAGAATCTCAATCGCAATGCATCTTAGAATTGAGAACTTTCCACACCTCTAACACATAATGTGTCTTCATTACAATGAAGCCAGTGTAGTTTAATGACTGACTCATAAATGTCGACGTGACAGAAGTAAACTTGCTGGAATTTGTCTCCCAATGAACCACTTCTTTTTTCGAAAAATTACAGAATTTTAGGGCACCGAGAAATAATAAGGATACAGAAACACCTGACTTACTCTTTAAAATCTTACTGGTATTTAAATTAAGAATATGAGCGTATCTATGAGTTTTTCCCCTCACTCTGTTCATTTTAACTCCTTGTTGTAACGTACATAGTGGCATTCTTTATTGGGTTTGTTGGATCAGTTTAAAATCTTAAAAGGTAGGAATAGTAAAACGAGCAGAAGCTACAGTGATTTTGGTTAGATGAAAAGCTTTAGGTAGCAGACTGAGTAGGACAAACCCAAACACCCTATCAACTGAACAGCTTTTACCATACGGATGGAAAGCCACTCACTCCATGCATGCATTACAGGCTCTGATCAGTTGCACAAACATTAAAGATGCTCGGACTATCGCATGTTTAGTTAAAATGTTCTCATTCACTTAAATTAACTGCCAAGATTTCTCCCTCGTCAAGAAATCCTTCACATCCATTGTGCCGACTAACACTCGTCTCTCTGTTCAGGAGTTTCCTCCATCTGGGAGCTGGGCTGAGCGTGGGCCTCAGCGGGCTGGCAGCAGGCTTCGCAATTGGCATTGTGGGCGACGCAGGTGTGAGGGGCACAGCTCAACAGCCGAGGCTTTTTGTGGGCATGATCCTCATTTTGATTTTCGCCGAGGTCTTGGGTCTCTACGGGCTCATTGTTGCCCTCATTCTCTCCACGAAATAAACGCCCAAACATCTCCACTACAAGATCTGTCCTTTATGTTGCTGCTGGAGGAAAAAGTGTAAAACGGGGTGAAAAAAATTGTAAAATTTCTGCCACTCAAGAAGAAAGAAGTGAAGGCAATGGGTGGGGAGGGGTTCATTAAAATGGCTCCATAAATATGGTTTTATCTCAGCAATGTGTACAGTCGTCCCAATTTGATAGTCAACTTGTAAATGCGCAATGTAGTGATTTGTCTGTCTCGTGTGTGTGTGTGTGTGTGCGTGCGTGCGTGTGTTTCAAAACCGTTGTATGATGAAGATTCCTTTTTTCCCTCCACTTATTTCAGGCCTTGAGGCCAGCTTAGGCAGCCTGGCCTCTGGTCTTAGAGATCTGACCAAAGGGGCACACAGCTTTTTCTCCTCCCATATCAATCTGGGAGTTGACACAATTTCTGCATTAATCTTGAGGATCTATTTGTAAAGAGAAATGTATATGGACATAAGATTTTTTTTTCCACTGATTTTATTTATAAGAAATTGTTCATTGAACTGTTTAATGCAGCAAGTCTTTCATTCCCCGGGATATTATATATATATATATATACACAGACATATAAATATCTATATAGATAGATTTAATGCCCTGTGGGGTTATTGTGATAAGTGGTTGGAATTCTTCTGGATGTAATTCTTGGTTTAATAAGATTGCCTTTAGTATGTTGCTGGTGAAGTGGGAGTTTTGTGTGTAGCTGTATTCTAATCATATGCAAACATTCTCAAACTTCAGTGTTTTTCCTGTAGTACTGCTGTTTGCATTAAAGGTGTGTGTGTGTGTGTGCCCCGTGATGGGTCTCACAGTGTAATTTCCAAATTTTCATCTCCTCCCCTTATTCACCCCCCTCTCTCATCTGTGGCTGTGTTTCATCTCTTCCACATTCCAGCCATTAAAATCCTGCATGGGTTTCAGTGTCTTGTTGCTGTTGGATTTGAAGCTGAAGAAGCAGGCTAGTTTCAGAAGATGTAATCCAGATCAAAAAGGTAGTTTTATGTTGTCCTCCCGCCAAAAAATAAAATAAGTCAGGTCTAAATCACAAGACTTGATGTTATCGTTTGTAGTGTGCAGCAGGAATCCATTGAGTTTCATGCAGGGACTGGTACCAATTTTGATCTGGAGTTTTCTGAAAATGGAACTGCTGCTGATTCATTTACTGAAGCGCCAGTCTACAATCCTGTATTACCACTGGTATTGAAGTTATCCTGATGTCGACGTGTGTCTCACAATCGAATTAAAGAAGATTCCAACTTAGATTTGACTGGCTTCCAAACAAAATGTCAGTACTGTATGTGTCACTTCTAAGACAGCATGACTTGGATTTTGTATTACAAAATGTTGTCTCTTCATTTGAACGTTAGAGTTGCTGTCGTCTTCCTGTTTCACTGTGGTGAGAACTTCACAATGTGGTTAACGGCTCAAAAATTGCAACTGCAGCACTGAAAGATAACTGCCTGCATTGTCCTATAAACAGATGTCGATTTGAAATGAGGTATAAACAAGATAAAGTGTTTAATATAATTAATTGTACAGGACAAATGCAACAAATCTCTACATTTACACGACTAATATCTGCATTATACTGTATTTTGCAGAGCCTATGTGCTAAAATGTGAGAACAATTCAGAATTGAGCTAATAAATTTATGGTTCAAGCTGTTTGGAGGCTGCTGAGCAGAGTCTGAGAAATACTGCTGATGGCACTGAAGGTGGCGCTGTCAGGAAATGACTGTGTGAAGTCTTTGCCCTCCTCTATACTAGCGCTGAGCAGAGGATCCAAGGGCACAGAGCCTGAAATGGAGAGGATAACTGATTACTGTTCTTACCTGAACCAAGCACCGCTGTAGCACGCTCAACTAATGTACTAATTAATGATGATCAATAGTGATAATAAAGTGGATGTTAAGGGGCATTGACTTATCAAATACTTGCTGGATGGCTAAATCTATGCAACACTGTCGGATATAGCAGGTTGCCACAGGGTAAGCTGAATTAGCTGCATCATTACTCAAGAGATTGATCTACTAACAAAGCAGATAGACGCTGTGGGAAAACGTTGATTAATCTATTCATTTGAACAACAAATACTGAATGCATCATGTCTCCATGAGGTATTTTAAACCTTCTGAGGCACTGAAGTCTGGATCGACCATTTTATCAGCGTGGCAGTGATGTAAAATGCCTCCTAAATCATGACTGGTGGGTGAGGAGTGATGAGCAGCCACAATGTGTTGTGCCACCATGTGGCTGGAAGCAAACATTACATGTAACTCAGTCCTGTTGATCTCACCTAGGAATACTGATCCACTCAGCTTGGCTAACTCTTCACCACCACCTTTTGAGAATATATTGCTGCATTCCTGAAAATGAAAGAATATTTGTTTAAGTACATACAGTCTGAGTGCATTGAAGATGACAAAAAAAATCTGTATTTTGCTGAATATCCAATTGAGTACATATTTAAAATAGATACAGCAGCTGATTTGTAGGTGATATTACTGTAACTACACTTCAGTCTGAAGTTATTGGCATTTTACATCTGAATTGTCCAAACAGTTGTATGAAAATTTACACACCGAGCAGTGGGGACAAACAAAGCCACTCATGTTCTCAATGATGCCAAGGATCCGTACGCCTGTCTTCTTACAGAAGGTAATCTCTCTCCTCACATCCCCAGTAGATACCGCCTGTAGCCCACACAAGACCGGTAAGAACAAATCCCACAGGATATTACAAAAGTTTCTGGTTAGGGTCCAGTCTACAGTCCACTAACAGCTGGTCAACCTCATTCAATCTGACTTTATAGAATGTATGCGTTTGTTGGAAGCATTTCATTATTTTGGTAGCTCTCTACATATGAAGATGGCAGCAATGACAGGAATGAGCATTTCAACATTACATCACGTGTTTGTGGTCTAGCTGTAAAACACTACACATCTGAGTCAGTGCTGGTCAATTTACAGCAGGCTGACAGTTTTTCACAATGTCTGAAGACACACATGCATAATAATGTACTGTATATGGCTGATATGTGATACTATGGCCAGTAGGGTCTCCAGAGTAGTGAGGTACCTGAGGTGTGGTGACCAAGATGGCTCCATCTACTTTGTGTTTTTTAAGGTTCTCCAGTACCGCCAAATGCTCATCAGACGTCCCTGGCGGCGTGTCCACCAGCAGCACGTCCAGCTCTCCCCATGCTACATCTGACACAAACTGGCCAATCAAAGCTGTCGGACAGGACAATCAGAAATGTTACAGAGGAAGTGCAAAAACAAGCAGCGGAGGAGTTTGTGTTGAGACAAAGATAGATATACTGGTGCAGTCCCTTCCAATATGTGCTGTACCCACATGATAGGTCTACTAAATAGTGTCAGAGAACAGTAGTGGACCAGTACTACTGCAGAAAAGTATACCGGTTTTCTTGGGCCCCCTCCAGATCACTGCTTCATCTGGGTCCTCCAGCAGGAAGCCGATGGACATAAGGGCGAGGTTCTTCTGGGCATCGGTGTAGACAGGCACCCATCCTGAGTCACACTGGTGCACGGCAGGCCGGCCCATATTCAGCATGCGGGGGATACTGGGCCCACAGAGGTCAACGTCTAGAATGCCTACCTGATGAACATACGAGTTTTGTTAATTAGTCAACTCACTTATGCTGGTCATTTCCTGACATTTGTATGAACAAAGAGCACAAGTCAGATATTGTGAACAGAGAGAAAAAAACCTGATAAAATACTGTGGTATGATCTGTTTCATGTTTAAAGTATTGTATTTGTACATGCATCATAACACCACATACACACAGCTGGTTTTTGAGCTCACCTTCTTGCCAGCATGCCTAAGAGCCAGTGCTAGCTCTGTGGTGATGGTGCTCTTGCCTACACCTCCTTTCCCTGACAGGACCAATACAACATGCTGGACCTGGGCCAGGCTCCCGACTCACATGAAAAGGAGGGGGAAGAATGAGTTAGTTCAGCATGAGCGCAGCAGATACATGTAAGGCTGTCAGTACATTAGGACACAACTGTCACGAGAGTTGCCGTTTTAACTATCAAATAATCAGAGTGAAATGTCGCAGTTAGGGACCAGGGTCACGTTTCATCACCCGATTTCACAAGTTCAACATAAGTACCTTAATAGATTCTTTGCAATCATGATTAACATGATTTCTGTGAAGATTCTCAGTTATTCTCAGTTTAACACGATTGGCTTTTTCATATGAACATTATCTCTCCGAGTATATAAAACCGTTCAGTCAGTTCCGATATTGGACGTTTTAGCCGCTGAATACCTAAAACTGAAGCTGTCTAGTTAACGTTAGCTTTCGCTAACCAGTTAGCTACGTTATAAATTGGTAACTACTGTCACACACGCAGCAGTTTCTGGCAGCTGTCATCTCTAAAGAACGAGGACAGTTCGTGTACGGATGTACGAGCTACAAATAGGGACGCAACTTCCTAATAAACTTTGTCTGTAACTGGTAACTTCGTCCTACCATTATTTTGTTCCATATTTTGGAGTTGAAGATTCAATCATGCACACAGCACAAGGAGCAAATACTTCCGTGTATCGTCATGCGCCACTTAGCCAATCACACAGCGGATAATACATCAGTCCCGCCTATCTTTCAACGCCACCAATAGGCTACCGGTGCGAACCATGGTGCGTTCATTCGCACCACAAACGCTTAAAACTAATAAAAACGAGTTGTTGTTTTTTTGGTTTTTCTGTTAGCGAAGACGTGTTTTACCCTAAACGACAACGACTGAAGCCAAACAGCTGGCTCCAGACATATACTTTTTTTTTTTTTGAATTTGTGAATCATATTCCAACAAAATAATTACCAGCAATATACACTATTGTAGGTCTGGTGAGTATCTGATAGATATTTGCAATTAATTTATCCCACCTGGGACAAGGTTTTTCTGTCTTTCTTTTCTTTTTTTTGTATGTGCATTTAACCAAGTGTTTGTGTTATCAAGTCAGAAGACCAAGGCCACAGACATTATTCCAGAGATACCCCACTTAGGTAAAATTAACTAAACAAATTAACATAAACTCCTCCCCCACATAGATCTTATCCAATAAGAACAACATAAGGGCGTGGGGAACTAATGTTTACGTTCAGCTTGCAAGAAGTGGGACAGAGTGCAAACTGCACCTGTCACAAGGTCGGATAGAGGCACACCACCATTTAAATGAGCAACTGCAAGACAGTGTATAGGAAGACTACTGCAAGGTAAGAGCAGATTGCTGCTAAAATTTATATATTCATGCTGTACTGTGTCTGACCGAGATTTAAACATTCAGCTGATGCTGTATGACTCACAGTGAGAATTACAGATGGTCTAATGACTAAGACAGGACAGCATGAGATTCTGTTGTGTTTGAATAGAAAGTCTGGGCAGGACATTGGGGGAGATTTGATTTTCAGTAGTTGAATATCTGAAACATAAAAATCATTCACATCACTATCACAGTCCTACAGCGACTGCATTATATCATATTAATCAAAACACTGGCTGACACAAGAACTCTAGTTTGTCTTGTCAATGCATTTACAGTATGTAGGGTAAGGACCAATTAAAGTGAGACTAGCGCCAGACTAACTAATCTAAAGTATTGGCAATTATCTCCTGCACCTGCTTGCAAAGCACTCACCAGCTGCTGTGTTCAGTGGTGGCATTAACCGAGACATGCTATCAGGTTAAGGTATAGCGTGTTGAACACTGCAGTTGAGGCTACTGATTGTAATGATTACTGCTTGTGAAAGCAGTTCAACACAGATAAGACTTTTTAAAAACAACCAAGGCAGTCCTGTTTTTGATCAATACATGTAGAGCTGCCTGCTTTCCAGGTCATAAAGCCCTGAAGAGAGGGTGAATTACCAAAAATATCCAACTAAGAATCATGCTTGTGTTATTAAATACTGTACGAATACAAACTGGATAGAGGCAGACTTCCTATAATGTTTCTGTCACTGTAATTGCATAAACTGCATCATCTTCACTGATTGTTAAATCAACTCTTGATAGTGCACATGCAGTTCAAAATGTCCATGTTTCCTGTGTCACAATATGGCAAACTTTGACTTAAATTTCCCCACAAGTGTCTTTAAAAGTAGTAGCTATGCCATACATGGAGAATGTTTAATTTTTCCTACCAAATCCATAAATCCACTTCCATTCCAAATTAATGAATTACATGCAAACTTTTCTTAGAGTGAATTAAAGTGCCAGATGATTATTTAGGAAGGTGTCACTGTCATTAGCAGGGGTGTAAACACAAGAATATCAGAATCCATGATCTATGATTGGTACACATTCTAGTCACTAGGTCAGGTGACCTCATCTGTATCTATTTGCTGTTGAAGCTAACTGACAGACATGCTTGACAGACACAGTGGTGTAAAAGCGGGTTGGGTTCAAAGGTTAAACAAGCGCGTGGAAACATTTCCTGCTGCCAACTGTGGTATATGGGACAGATGGAAATAGGCAAGCTGGCACACAAAGATCAGTCTATAGGTGACTAAACATTGTTCCTTACAAGGATATTTTGCAGCTTCACACTGACTGGGAGCTGGTAAGGAACATTAAGGTTAGTGAACACACTGTAGAACTGAGAAAAGCCTACAGCGAGTGTTTCCCATTCACGTTATTGACTGACCTACTTACAGTTGTCCTACAGGTTTGTGATACATTTGACAAACTCGCTGGGGATATTTCACACCTTTCTTATACAGCCTTACAAACTCACAGTAAGTTGAAAATGGAAAGGAATTTAACTGTGTGTCATTTTGGGGGTGTAAACACAGTGCACCCTAAAGCTACCATCTTCAAAATTTTAAATGATGCAAACAACTTAAGATGATATACTCTCATCATTGCTTTAGGATATTTTTGAGATTTGTTTGAGACCTCATTTTGCAGTTCAAATCTTATTCTGCCAAATTGGTATGCTGTTAATTCCCAGAAAGCCCTCTTCAAACTGAAATAGCAAGTTATTTCTGTGTCTCTTTCTTGAATATAGCCTGCTAGGTTTGGAACATGTGTAATCAGATACATATGTGGATAAAAAATAATCTGACCTCAACACACCAAACAAATAATAAATAAGCTGTAAAGTAAACTGTGTCCAAAATGACCTGAAAGGCGCTGGGTCTGCTGTTCACAGAGCTGCAATGCTGAGAAGAGGCAGGAACGGCCGGGCTCGGCATTTGGCCTGGAGCGAACCACGGCACGAGACAGATGCCATGGCAGTGATCCAGACATCGGACAGGGAGGAATGGGAAGGCCAGACAACGACACAGGTGAGACAGTGGGGTTTTTCAGGGGGAGAGCGAAAAAAAGTGGCGCGAAGTGTGGAGCACAGCTTAAAAGAGAGAATTTAAGAAGCGGGGGATTCAGATGGAATGTATATTTGGTATGACTTGGCTCAAAGACATACTTAAGTATCTCATGCTTGATGTTACAGAATAAGAAACAGTTATATCCAAAGAAATGGTTCTGTTTGACCATAGCTAATATTTCTACCTGAGGACCAGTAGTTTTCCACTGGGACTGTCCCCTGTCTGTAAGACATGATCAGGTCTCCAAAGGCATGGGCAGGTGGCTCAGTATTTTTGGCAAGGGTCTAATTTTACTTACTAGCTCACATGACTTCTCTCACCAATAGGAACTATGAACAGCTTTTAAGGAAAAGGCTATCTTGTTGACTCTTTTAAACGGGTGATAGCTCTCATTTAGTCATATAGCTCTTTTTCGTTTTACAGAATCAGATTTTTCTGTCCGGTCTTGGCAACCTTTTACCCTTTCAGGTTGCACTTTCTGTACACTACCAAAACGTTATTATTTACAAAAAGGCATCACAGCTGCCACTGGATTTGAGAAAACATTGAATACGATCCTGAAGCTGTCTCCACTGGATCTAATTCCTTTCCCTGATACCAAGCCAAGATCCCTGGACCATGGCCACATCTACGGACTTACAAGGTGCTGCTTGTACTGTTTGTGTCAACCAGATCAGCGACCTGGAGTCGGAGGTGGATTACCTGCCGAGTTCTCAGACTGTATGCGAGGTGGTGGCCTTGTCCAGCACTGTACCTGTGATAGGGGAGTCTTTCTGCCAGTGTGAGCGACAGGAAGAGCTCAGCCTGGGCGACTGCGTCTGTGGGGAGGAGGATCAGGGTGACTATTATAACAATATAAGGCCTTGGCAGTATATTAGACATAATTGGCTTTTGTGAGAATATATATAAATATCCAGCTAATATAGTTATTCTTGTGTTCTCAGGTTTTGACTGGTTGTGGGATGAGCACTTCAAGTCCTCTGGAGCCTTCCTCAGCTGTGACAACAGGAAGGTGAGCTTTCACTCTGACTACAGCTGTGGCACAGCTGCCATCCGTGGCACCAAAGAGCTCACAGATGGCCAACACTTCTGGGAAGTCAAGATGACCTCTCCTGTCTATGGAACAGATATGGTAGGTAGCAGTTCCTTGAATAATACTAATATTATTCAAGGAACTCATAATAATAATAATAATAATAATGAAAAAAGTTATATTAGCAGTGGCCAACAATTTTTTTGTGTTTGGTCTCAGTCGATGTTGAGGGTCATTGCAAACTATAAAGCAGAGGAGTTAGACTCATTTGTTGATTTACCTGTTTTGATCCTGTTTTCCTGTTTCACTGGTGTAGATGGTGGGAATTGGAACTTCAGAGGTGAACCTGGAGAAGTTCAAATACAGTTTTGGCAGCCTGCTGGGCCATGATGAGGACAGTTGGGGTCTCTCCTACACAGGTTAGAGCATCAGAATACAGGGATTTAAATATAGCATGATGTATCTTAGGAATCTGTGAAACTGGATGGAGACTTTCTACCAGTAATGAAAAGTATTTTGAAGTCAAAAGTTTACACAAGTACTGTACTTAAGTGCAATTTAAGGTACTTAGACAGGTGAGCTTACATTTTTATGGTAAGGTTTCAAAAATATAATTCAATTCAATTTTATTTATATGGCGCCAAATCACAACAACAGTTATCTCAAAGCGCTTTTCATAAAAGAGCAGGTCTAGACCGTACTCTATGATGTTATTTACAGAAGCCCAACAGTTCCCACCAAGAGCAAGCACTAGGCGACAGAGGCAAGGAAAAACTTCCTTTTAAGAGGCAGAAACCTCAAGCAGAACCATGGCTCAGGGTGGGCGGCCATCTGCCTCGACCGGTTGGGGTAAAGGGGGGGGATGGAAGGAGAGAGAGAGTAAAAGAGAGGGATGGAAGGAGAGAGAGGGGAGGGAGGCAGCCTACACAATATACACACACAGAGTTACAGACAGTAAAGGTGATGTTGCTATAGACTAGAAAATGGTACAGATATTTATAGTAGTGTTAATGATAACAATCATAATGTTAATGATTATAATAACAATAATAATAATAGGACTAGTAACAATAGTCGTTGTAGCAGAGGGTGTCGAGCAGGAACACAGGGGCAGCAGGTGACCCGCAGCCACAGATCCAGACTCCACAGCTCCAGAGCCAGAAAACCTGCAGGAAGTGATAGGAGGAGAGAGGAGAGGGACGAGAAAGCACAAGACTACCGGAAAGGGGAGAAGTTGTGTTAGTAACATGCAATAATGGGATGAGGTTGCATACAGAGGGAGAGAAAGTAGAGGAGAGAGGAGCTCAGTGCATCATTGTTATATGTAATACATTGTTAAAGATTAAATCAGTGGTTCTGAAAAACATTTTGCAGCAAAAAAAAAGCAATGTTTAGCTGGGACCTTTGTCACATTTCAGATGTCTATGAGTTGATCGCAGTTCCGCTCACAAGAGACATTTCCCCTCTAAACATCTCATGGTTTCACTGAAATAACTGTTTGAGGCCCAAAGAGGCAAAATGATCCAATATTTCACAGACATGCAAGGGTCAGTGAAAAGTCCAAAAACTGAAAACAAATGCGTGTGGCAGGATTTTGTTTTTGTGTTCTTGTCTTTCCAACCCTATTAGTTATCTCAGGACCCCACAGATTTATCTTGTGACCCTTACGACCCCTAGATTGGGAACCACTGGACTTAAGGACTTAACAACCAAACTAGCTCTACCTCTCGACCAGTTACAACAGTAAAATGCAACTTATGTAATAATAATAATTTTACTTTTAATTTGGCTGATAATACTTCTGCACTCTTTCATAAGTAGGATTGTAAATGCATGACCTGGGACTAGCTTTACTTTGAAGTATTGGTACATCTGCATACTTCTTCCACCACTGCTAAAATCCTATACAATAATTCTATATCTATACCTGTTTAAAGGTCACCTCCAGCACAAAGGGGACAAAGTGAAGTTCTCCTCTCGGTTTGGCCAAGGCTCCATCATAGGGGTGCACCTGGACACCTGGCATGGCACCCTGACCTTCTACAAGAATCGGCACTGCATAGGTGAATGTTTATCTGTAATTCAAGCTGCCCAGCTACATAAAACACAAGAGAATAGCTTTTTAGTTATGACTTCCTGGTGGATGTTTTCATCCTGTTGCCTCTCCTGCTACAACAGGTGTTGCTGCCACTAGGCTGCAGAACAAGAAGTTGTACCCCATGGTGTGCTCCACAGCAGCCAAAAGCAGTATGAAGGTGATCCGTGCCTGCTATACACCCACCTCCCTGCAGTACCTTTGCTGTGCCAGGCTCCGCCAAATGTTGCCCTGCTGCCCAGACCTACTTAATGCCCTGGAGCTGCCCCCGGGTCTGCGCACCCTCCTCCATGCACAGCTAGGATGGGTCTTCACCCTCAGCAGCAGCTCTGAGGCCTCAGAGGACAACATGGACTCACCTGAGGATTTCCACGAGGACATGAGCCTGCCTTCCAGCCCCAGCCCCATTCTGAGCCCAGTATCCAACCTGAGTGCCTGCGCCTCCCCGAGCCCCTGCACAAGCCCGTTTCCTGACACAGACCCATACCAGTGTTCCTGTCAAATGTCATCTCAAACTCAACCCTGCACTTGCCACTGCCCTCCAACTCCTCCCAGCAGTGACTACGAAAGCTGCTGCTCCGAGCCAGAGGATTACCAATGTAAAAGATGCCGCTGGACATGACATAAAGAAGTAGTCAAATGTATTTACAAGTGTTTGGCATACAGCTATTCTACCATTGCCATCAAAATCTCCTGTTGGAAACCATGGAGATAAGAGCAATCTGATCTTTTAGACAACATTTCTTAATCAAATCATTGACTTGGATTGCTGTGCTCTTTTTCATTTACTCATTTTTATGACATTTGAAAAACTTTTGTCATGAATGGGGAGAAGGGAGTGAGTCTGTAGTGAGTGAGACATTTAAGGAAGTTGAGATATTAAAAGTCACATCTGGGTCATTCACTCTCATTTTAGTCAATTGCTATTATGGGGCTAATGAGAGCCATTTGTACTGCTCTGATTTTTTTGTTTAATTTTATAAATATGCCAGTCACTGTCTTTAGATTAAACTCTGAATCTTGTACAATTCTGGGGGCTAGACTTCAGGGGGAACAGAGTTGCTTTTTGATACTGTGAAAATTACTTTTTGTACAGTAAACGTGTGTTTTGTAATCAGCAATTGGCTTGAATATCAACAGTGGTTGTTTTTTGCTTACAAGAGGATTTGTTTTTCTATTTACAGTTATGCTTTGTTAATGAACTTTCTTATTCACTGAACTGAAAGGTTCTGTTGCAGCTCATTTTTATAGATATAAACAACATATGTAGTTCATGGCAGTTCCTCTAACAATACATTTAAAAATGAACAAATATTGGATCAAAATAATTAATCATAATTATGGAAGCCTATATGGGGACAATATTAAAATGATCATGTAAACTTAAAAATGAAAATGTAATTTCACAATTATATAATTTTCCACACGTTATTTGAGTAAAAATTAAAATTAAAATTTATTAAATAAATGAGCATTTTCATTTTCACATATTCCATTTGTTCTATGACCATATTAACACGGAAATGTAAAATTCTGTTTATTTGTCGTACACTGCTGTACCATGGACAAAAATTAATTCAAATTTGAAAATTAAAATTCAATACAAACAATGTAACCTGCTTTTTCTTTCATGCAAGCAATATTTAAGTCAAAATGAAAATGCATTTTTCAAACAATTTAAAAAATACAAAAAAAACTGCATTTGAGAGTTTATTTTCAAAGACTTATTCTGCTTTAAAGTGTACAGTATTCAAAGCAATAAGTGAAACAACGACCCCAGTCCATTGCATTTACACGGTATCATGCTCTTTTGGTGTCAAAATGAAAATGCAATCTGTCAGTCCTCTCATCTTCATTTAGGGCATCAATCATTCTCTGTAGGCGGAACAACATAGGCAAACTACCAGAACCTGACTTTTGTGGCCATTGCTTGATGTTGTAGTCCTTAGCACTGCTCCTCTGAGAGGCTGCAGAGGCCTTAGAGAAGCACAGTTCACCCCATATTGATTTAGTTAGTTTAAGTTCAGTTATTTCCCCCACCAGCATAACTGCCATTGCCCCAGTGACAGACAAACACTCTACTTCCAGTTAGCGCATAGTGCTGGCCCAGGTCGGTAAGTACTTGTAAAAGTTAATGAGCCAAGTCAGTGAATGAGAAAGTGACACCCTAACTGAAGACCTTCCTTGTTTAAAGGAACTGACAGATTGCATTTTCATTTTATTGCTTGCAAAAATGGAAAATCAGGTTACATGTTTATATTGCATTTGAATTTTCAAATTTAAATTAACATTGGAAGTTGCCTCTATAAAGCAGCTTTTCCCATTTTTTGTATTTGAATATGGCGATAGATAGCCCATACGAGTATGTGGGGGGAAATTCAATAATCCAATTTGCATTTTCATTTTTACTCATGTAACACATACATACATATGTGGGAAATTATAATGCTATTGTGGAATTACATTTAAGTGTTCGAGTTTATATTTTTATTTTATTTTCATATAATTCCCTATAGGCTTCCATAAAATAATACATATAATTCCTTATTTCACTAAATATACTCTATTAATATCTTTTGTTGCTTGACTGTTGAAGTTCAGAGGGGTATAAATAGTGCTTTGCTGGAAGGTAAACATGATATCTAAGGCATATTTTTAGCTTGTAAACATCATCATTAACATATTTGCAGCCAAGTGTCATTAGAAACCGGATTAATCCTCGCTGACGTCCATCTCGTTCTCAAATTGACAAATTAGTCCAGGACCAGCTGGGGGTTCTGGGCGGTGAAGCAGCGGTAAACTCTGGCTGATATCTCCGGTCCTATACGTCTCTCTTTACCTCCACTTTTCACTAAGAGTCCAGCCAGCAGCCCCTTTCTGGCTTCCTCAGACCCCAAGCTCTTGTACGCCTAAAAACACAAAATAAAAAAAAAAGAAATGTGGATATTATATTCATAAACATTTTGCAAACAATCTCTCACACATTGTTTATGATCAATAAAAAGCAACAATTTATCCAAAATGCCTCGGTTGCACAGAGTGGGAGATCACAGTGGGAATCCTACCCACACCTCTGCTTATGTTGACACCATCCTAAATAGGACTCTCTAGGAGTGCACTCAGGTGTACCTGCAGCAACAGCTGAGGAGACGGGTAGGCTACAGTCACAGTGGAGGCCACGGCTGGGCTGACTCTGTTCAGCTGTTGGATCTGCTTGCTCCAGACCTGGATCAGCCCTGAGCCGTCCCTCTCCACCCGAACGCCGCTGGCCCATGAACCATCCACGCAGAAGGGCAGCTCTGCTCGCTCTGTCAGCAGTCTGTAAGGGAATGGAAAGACATCATATGTGGAAATTAGCCAGGCGATATATAATATCATGTCTGATGGAAATATCCCTTGTCTGTTAATGTGACAATGATTAGAGTGGCTGCATACTTGAAAGGGCGCTTTGATAAGGCCTTGGTGACAGCACACACATGGTTAGTGACCTCCTGCCAGCCATCCAGGAAGACCAGTGAGATATTCTTGCAGAGCTCTAGGTACACAAGAACCTGGAGAGAAATAGAGACAGTACCAAAGAAATCCCACATTGTCAAACCTCAACCATAAAGCTCTGCTCAAATACCATAAAGTGTACAGGAACATTTATATATGTCAAGTATGTAAAGTGTTTAAAGAAAAATGTAACTCTCTGTTACCTATCAATCTTCTAAAACAATACAATTGAGTGGTCAAACATCTACAAAAAGTATATGCAAGATCAACTAATTCTCGCTGTACAACTAGTCACAAGAGGGAAGAGATTCAAACGAAGCAGACCTCCTCAATGTTCTGATCCTCCATCCCTAATTTGGATTGCAGCATCTCATCTAGTAAATGCACAACACAAGTATTTGACCTGTTGGTAAATAAAACCAATAAGCCAGGTTAGAATGTTTACATGAAACTCAACACAGAATCAGAATCACATTTATTGGCCAGGTATGTGTACATATAGGAGGAATTTGACTCCGGTCTTACATTCCTCTCAATGTACATACACAAAACAAGCATAAACAAACAGGACAACAGGCTGAACAAAAAAAACAGAACAGAACAGAAACGTTGTACCATGTACAGGTAAATACACACAAATGTAAACAAAAACAGCAACATTTATAAACAGCAAGACAATAGTCAAACAGATCAGAGTGCAAAGGATGATGCAAATAAATATTTTGATGATTATGAGGTAGATGGATATGATATATACAATATGAACTGCATGCATAGAGGTGTTTTGAGTGACGATATTTATGTTTAATGAAAAGAAACTGACTTACAACAGTGAAAAATAAGCTCACCAGAGATGAACAAAGTTAGTAAATAAAAAAGTAACTGGGTTATTAAGTGTCTGTCCATCAGAGGCCACAAACACAGTACACTAACCTGTAATATGGCAGAGTGTCAGTCACTAAAAGAGTGACCACCTTCTTGGCATCGCGGTTGAGACACTCCAAAAGAGGACTGAGGAAAGACCCCACCTCCGTCTCCTCCCCTTCATTCTCTAGCATCTGCAGTACCAACAAAATAATATGGAGTGCAGCATTGAGGCTACTAAAAACATGCAACAAGGCAGTCTACTGGAGGTCAGAATCATCACATCTCAATCATACAGCTTGCCAACAAAGTTAATTTATTGCAACTTAAAACGGTTGCTTACTCTCTTCAGAGAAATCACCATGTCCATGAAGTCAGTCAGATCCAGCACCAGAACCACTTGCTCCTCCTCCACCGACCCCTTGCCATCTTCTCCCTGCTAAAGGCAAAACAGTAATGATCCCGCTGGAGAAAGTAGAAAAAGGAAGTAGTAGTAGTTGTAATAAGTAGAAATACAGCCAATTAATAAATGCAATGCAGCCAAAATATCACAATAAATTAAATGTACAAAATGCATGTTGCAGGGCCACAGAAGGACACACTCTACAAATGTAAAAAGAACATGCAGGTGTGGACATGTGCTTTACTAGCTGCAGGAGCAATTTGCCCAGAAACTACCTGAGGTATATCTCTGGTCCAGGTAATACTGCGCGGGAGCTGCTGGCTCTCTATGCTAAACCTCCACTCAAAGGTAGCCAGGGTGTTCAGCAAGATGTCTGAGCCATCCTGTTGCAGAAGAGCTGGGGAAAAGCACACATGGCATTGGATGTATTGTCTTTTTTGTGGAAGTCAGAACCTTTAAGTGGTCCTTGTTCGGTCAGACATTGAAGCTTGTAAATAAAAATTGTCATGCATGCATGCTTTTGTTGGTTAGAGGAGCAAAATTAAGCCAAGTAAGAAGTTGCCTAAGTAGTTCTATTGGATGAAAAAATAAAAATTTTAAATATCTAATAAATTTTTAATCAATTCATCAATATTCCTGATATCGTTTATTATTATCATTATTGCAATGTTATTGTTTTTTGCAGCAATTTAAAAAAATCCCCTAATTGTAGTCAAGCTGTCTCTATGTAGTCGATAGATAATGAAAAATTTCTGACAGCACCTGAAGGCAGCATGGTGCGCCCCTGTACCTGGATCAATGCAGACCGTCAGACACTTGAGGCAGTTCTCTGGCCTGAGACTCTTGAGATTCTCCGCAGCCTCTCTCCTCCTCTGCTGCTCCTGTCTCCTCTCCTCCTTCTCCCGGGCTCTGGCAGCTCTCTGCCTCTCTCTCGCCTCCTTCCTCTCCTTGGCTGTCTCTCTGTCCGCTTCTATCTCCTCCTTGGTGCGGCGTTTTCTTGCAGGACTTGGTGTGTCACATCCATCTGGACGCGGGGGAGACAGAGCCGAAGCTTGACCAGACTCGCATTTTGTGGCTGACGGACTGTGATCCTCTATGAAGTCTGTGCTGACTGTTACCATTTGACTGCTCCCATCGCGGTTTAAATCGGGTTTTGTTTCAGCGTCGCTTTCCTCAGATTCAGATATGTCCCATGTTTTAGCTCTACGCAAAACAGACATTGCATCATCAAAAGCCCCCAAAAGTCATTGAACACACCATTTATACAACATGCTAGCCTACTCATGGATGTATAAACAACCTGCTTACTAGGGCCCAGTTCGACCGCGTCCGCTGAGGGCCAAACTAAAAGAAAACGCGCTTCATAATCCCGTTTTACCCACAAGGAAACTATACTATAAAGTAACCTTTTTAAAATAAACCCGACCAAAGTGTAGATTGTTTTTAATTAGAAACAACAGATGGCAGATAAACCAAGCAGCTGTCACCAGGTGGACTACAGACCAGCCAACACCACAGGCCGGTTTCATTGGATTAATTCTCAGGACACACTGAGAAAACACTGACTGAATGGGGTCAGTGTAGTGAAAAAGTCCTATAACTAAACATATTGCTGTACTTTTGTCATTAGAATTGTGACTTAAGCATATTATTAATACATGTTTAGACTGTAACCTGTAGGCTAGGCCTAGGCTAAAAAAAAGAGTGAATTTGATGCTTTTTGTTGATGTTTTTGTTTTCTTAAGATTTAAATAGATTGAACCTTCAATTAAGTGTTTATAGAAGGATTTGACAAGCATACAAATCAGAACGGGCACATACATTTAAGGTATGTGAAGGGTGCATCCAACATTAATTGGATTAAACATGAAACAAGAAAAGTTTTACATATATTTTTATTTTATGCTTTGCTCACATTAAAGTCAACTGTACTTTGTACTGTAAATCTGAACTCAAATCCATTCCCCTATTTATATCCCTTATTTAACTGCATTTACTTGAAAACTTGTTCAGACCAAATTAATGATTGAAAACGTAACATAGGCTTTACACTTACATACACAGTTTAAATCTGTCTGTTGTTATAGCCTAATGTATTTTGAATATTCAAAAAAAAATTATTATTCTACTTTGACTTTTTCTTGAATGTCTAATATAGAAAAAAATATAATAATGAAGATCTAGAAATGACCATGAATAAAGTTTCAGGGGTTAAAAAAAAGTGTCTGCTTCGTGCGCAGATTTACAAGCGACTCGTTGCGTCTTTACAGAGGAAGAGGTCGATCCATGTAGTTTAAAGAGCTGCGGACTGCAGAAAAGAGTTGCAGCGGACCTGAACGCACCCTGCTAACACTGCTAACTAGCCTGTCCATGTAAACAACACAGAAGGATGTGATTTTAAAGTCTTCTTTTTTTATAGTCTCTGTTCTTTTTTCGCTCACCATGACGCAGCCGGCAGAGAAAGGTACGTGTAACTATAGTTTTATTTTCCAAAAAATGACTTCTTCGTCACTAAATGTTACACAGCCACACTGTCGAACCTCTTGTCTCTCAGTATACTTCCCTGAAAAACTGGGCCACTGAGAGAACGGCCGACTCAGCATTTTATGCTTAGTGTGTCGTTAAAATAGCTCATGTGACTAAATGGGAAGTTGCCACAACCTTGAGGTTGGCAGTAGTTGTTTGCTATCTTATGAATGTATTATGAAAAAATACAAAATGTATTCTTCACACACTTTGTTTTCCCAGTGAGGTCAACTCAAAATTTCACATTGGACAAAGTTACAGGAAATGTACAAAATCAGGGGTGGTTGTTTGTGTATTGTAACTAAGTGCAATTTTGAGGTACTAGGCTATTGAGCCTTTCCATTTTAGGCTACTTTATACTTCTCCACTACATTTTGGAAGCTAATGGTGTACTTTTTTACTCCACTACGTTTAATTGACAACACTACTAGTTATTTTGTAGATTCAGCTTACTGATACAAAATATCAATCAACTAATAAATGATGATGCATAAGAGTGGATGAAGCTACCCTGCAGTTTAAAGTAGCTTAAATTAGCTCCACCTTGCATGCTACAACATTAGAGAAGCTCACACATTAATCCAGTGATATAATACACATTATTCTGAAATGGGTCATTCTGAACGAGTACTTTTATTTTTTGTACTTTAAGTACTTTAAGTAAGTGTATGCTAATACTTGTGTATGTTCACTTAAGTAAGGATTTCCAATGCAATAGTATTTTTAGAGTACACTTAAGTGTTCAGTGTTGTTGGTATCTCTTCATGTGCATGTTGTAAAGTAAGTGAGAGAGTCATAAAATTAGACAGTTCATTAATTTTTGTTATATTTTCCACAGCTTATTATCGCTTTGTGGTGCTGTTCTTCAACTGCCTGCTGACATTTGGCTCCTACTTCTGCTTTGACATGCCCAGTGTTTTGCAGGATCAGTTCCAAGGGGCAAGTATGAGGTGGTGGGAGGGCAGACCAGCTTAAAGATACTATGAGTATCATATGATTCCTCCACGTTAACGTAACGTGATCATTGTAGTTTGGTGTCAGAATTCCAAAGTCTGTCTCTCTCTTTTTGTGGCCAGTCAGATAATAACTTTAACCACCTCATGTGACAGAACCTGACATGTCCCAATGCAACAGTGATCAATGGGACGGTGGACTGTGTGGAGGGATTGGGGATGAGCCCTCAGCAGTACAATCTTCTTTATGCCATCTATGCTTGGACGTAAGTACACACACATTGACTCTACTGTAATGTGCTGATTAATGGCTTATCAGAAAACGGCTACAGTTGGTACTGTTCTCTCCTATCATCAGGAATGCAGTTGTGGTGATCCTGGCTGGGTTCCTGATTGACAAATTAGGAAACCGGTGTAAGTCTTTGTGTATCTTATCTGCAAATCAAACAACTGACTGTCTGTTTGGTAACTCATGGTAACTTTATTCCCCTTTCCTCTTTTCTGCAGTTGGAGTATTTCTGTTCTCCTTTCTGTGTGTTTTGGGCTCGTCGCTGTTTGCACTGGGTTCCCACTTCAAAGGATCTCCCTATCTGCTGCCACTTATGCTCACAGGCCGACTACTTTTTGGATCAGGCAACGGATCTCTGACCAGTGAGGCCACCTTACAAAAGTCATATACATAGTCTTTGCAATGTCATCTCGGACGAATGTTTCTAAACCGGTTTCTGTCATTAATTGTCCTTCATAGTTGTTCAGAACCGCATCACAGCCTTTTGGTTCAGAGGGAAGGAGCTGGCCTTGGCTTTCGGTCTGACCCTGGCTTTCTCTCGCCTGGGTTCAGTCCTGAACTTCTTCCTCACCCAGAAGTTTGAAGAAAAATATGGCATGCAGTGGACACTCTGGGGTGGTAGGTGTAGAGGGGAAAGACACCTCAAAGTTCATAGTGTGTAGAGTAGTAAAGTAGGAGTTATTTTCTTATGCTACTTGGCACGTGATGCTTTGTTCTCTAGGTGCACTGCTGTGTGTGCTGGGCTTTATATCTGCCATTGTAGTCAGTGCCCTGGACAAGATCGGTATGACGCAGCTGGGTCTTGATGGTGCCATTCAAGAGGAGTCCCGCAAAGTGGTATGAACAGTTTCTGACCTCCAGTTTTTTTTTGTGTGTGTAAATGTCCATTAACTTTGTTCGGTAGTGCATACATACCCAGTATGCCCTGGATTGAGTGTGTGTGTGTGTGTGTGTGTGTGTGTGTGTGTGTATGTAGAGGATTCAGGATGTGAAGCTCCTGTCCCTAAGATACTGGCTGCTGGTTCTCACCATCATGTTCTTCTACAACGGCATTTTCCCGTTCATCGCAGATGCCAGGTACAGCACACACAGCTCATGCATATTCCCCAGATTTGAAACAGGTTTTTAAGTCCAGCATACAGTAATTTCTTTTAGATTAGGAATGCTTTAGGCCATAAGATTACACATGCCAAGATGTCATTCATTTTTTAAATAATAATTAAATTTCTTTGGGATATTTATACATCATAAAACCATTGTATTTATGTGACCCTATTACAGAAACACTTAAAAGAATCATTTACTTCTAACATAAGCCTGTGTTTTTGCTGCCCAGTAAGTTCATTCAGGATAAGTACAGTGGCTACAGTCAGAAGGAGGCGGCCTACATCGCCGGGGCAGTTTATGACAGCTCACTGGTCCTCTCAGCCACCGTGGGCATCCTCATAGTAAGTATCTTGTAACCTAAACCAGTTCAAAAGTCTGCTGTTTAAAGCAGTATAGAATAGATAGGTAATTTGGTGCAACACGTGACATTGTTTTGTGATTGTTCCAGGATTATGTGGGCCTGCGGGGCATTTTCGCAGTGGCCTGCGCTGTCCTCACGCTGCCTGTGTTTGGACTCCTGGCCTTCACCTTTGTCCCTCCACTTGTCTCCACCATATGGCTCGGAGTCACCTACTCTTTTGCTGCTGTGAGTTCGCGTCAAAGCCATTGTTTTTAACATTTTCAATTCTAACACCGACTTTCTCTTTGTTTGTTTTTTACCAGGAGAATTTCTTAGCTTTTACTATTACTACTACTTTTACTTTGCATGAGGACCTTGTTTGTTGTAAACCTGAAAGATCAGGATCCTCCTAGCCGAATTAACTAGTTACCTATCAGAAGACCCACATGCTCTTAGTCAAATAAAGGACGCCAAACAGTAGGAAGTAGAATATAATTCAGTTAATGCTCACGCTACTGAAATTGAAATGCTTATGTTTAAACGTTATGTTGAACATAGTGAAATGTCTGGCAGATAAAGAATATGTGGAGAGGAAAATGTCTATGCTACACTGGTGCATACAGATCAATTTCACAAGCAGATGAGTCCCTGTATTTAGGAAAAGCATGTGTCTTAATTTAAACTGTCTGTGTTGTATTCCAGGCAAGCATGTGGCCTTCTATTCCCCTCGTGGTACCTCAGGCGACTCTGGGAACCGCCATGGGTCTGGCCACCTCCGTACAGATGGTTGGGATTGGGGTGTCCAATCTGGTTGTTGGGCAGATTCTGGGCACCAAGTCCAGGTAGGAAATATTTCAGAATATCTTACGGCAGTGCACTAATTGTCCATGCTGTATGTTAGATCTTTACTTAGCTGCACTGCTTTCTCCATTTCCTGGCCAGCGAAACAAAAATTCCGCTGTGGCGTTGGCAGAGGATGATGATCTTCATGTTGGCTAACACTATCAGCTGCATCGTCACGTCAGTGCTGCTCAACACTGTCGACCACAGACAGGTCAGACATCTCACAGACTGTGTGTGTGTGTGTGTGTGTGTGTGTGTGTGTTAGCACGGCATACAGTGTGTTCAGTTAATATTTGTTTTTCTGCAGGGCGGGACCCTGAACAAGACAACCAAGAGGTCAGCACAGGCAGAGATAGATTCAGACAGAGAGCCGCTCAACCAGGGAGAGGAACAGCAAGAGGAGGAGGAGGAGGAGGAAGAGGAAGAGGTGGTCAGATCTCCTTCTATCAACTCCTAAGTTTGAACATCCCCCCCCCCTTTTTTTCCAGCAACACAACAATTTGTAATACATTCAGTGTGAATTACCAACATACAGATGTTTGCCTGTCGTCTATTTTTAATAATCTGTGTTGTAATTTGGTTTGAGTGAGAATCAGTTATGGAGTACACAGTCTTAGTGTTTCCATATATGTCAGAAATGGTTGCCAGGTTTTATAAAATGTACCTTAGAGCCACCCAGCTTCTATAGCACCTATCTTTACTTTCTCCACACGTCCAAACCTCACAAGTTCTCCAGCCGACTGGACATGTGTGGGAGAGGCCACCTGCTTCCACTAGCCGTCTAGCAATTATGGAAGCAAAAGGAATAGTATTCTGGTAATGTCTGAGCCCTTTCCAGGATCAGGGGCCCCTCCAAGCCATTAGGACAACCAAGTATATCGTATAGAAGCTTGCCAGTGAATTCCCTTATCCAGACCCTCAGACGCTCCTGTGATACATAAGTTGCATCAACTTCCCCCAATTTCCAGATTATCAGTCTTCACCTGTAATTTTTTTATAATCACTGCTCAACTGTGCCTATCGCGTCTCCATGGCATCCAAGTAGACTTCAGAATTCTTCAGCCCTTTTGTTATTTTGTTTGCCACTACATTCATCCAGGGAAATTTTAATCAGAGAGAGGGCTTGTTTTGATCTCTTCTCGTATGCCACTGTTCTCTCTGATTGCTTGTAGCACCTACAGTGTTCTTGCTAATAGCCTCTGAGTTGCTAGCTTGCATGGCTTCAGGAGGTTCGGGAGGCATTTCTTTGTCCAAAAACTGACTCAAAATATCTGTTCAAGTATTTAGTCTAAGAATTTAATATTTGTACATATGTACATGATGATAAGGTGTTTTCTGTTTTTATTTCCATTTTAGAAGTACATAATAAATGATGATGAAGCTTCTGCTAAGCCCAGCTATATTTTGACACACTGTAATTCTAATAATTTTGGAAATATATCCAGACATACACTATATAGTGGTAGCGCTTGGAGATTTGTGTGTCATAGAAAAATGGACTATTGGCCTTGGTGGAGGTCTGTTCTCTGTGAGTGCCTTTCTAATTTTTATATGTACAAGGTTTCAAATTGAACTTGGTTTATAACTGTACACCTCACTGAAACTACATTTGTCTGTAATTGCTACAGCAGATAACTGAGCAGTGTTAATGAATCAGATCCCTGTTAATGTTGCAGGTATAATACGGGGAAGAAGAAAATCAACTTTTTTATTTAGTTATGAGTTTATTTAAACTGAAACACAATCTATCAATCACATTATCACTCAGCTATCTCATGTACTGCCATAACTGACTGTGTGAAGCTTACTGAGGACACTAGATAATTTTAATGTAGTGTGAAAATGCAAATCACACAAATGCCCCCCCCACACACAACAAAACAAGTGTTTGTACCTCCTATCATGGTTTAAGATGTCAGCATGTACTTTGAGAAGGGAATTTGATGTTACATTGCCCAAACAGCAAAAATAAAATGCTGTTTATCTTTTTTGACAATCTTTTTGCTGTCTTTCTAATGTTTCTGGACATTGTCCCTAGCAATCATTTAGATCTAAACAAATAGATTTAACCACTGTTGTAAGGTTGACCTTATTTCCACCGAAATACTCAGCACAACATGTTTAGCACATTACAGCCAGTAGGTGGAACTCTTTATACATTTCTATGCAACGGAATAACCACAGTTTATGTAGAAAGCATGGGATTGTGAAGAGTCCACCATTGTGTGTTTGTCTCTAGCTTTTACTTCAGCTCTTCGGGGCTTTCCCATATCCAACCTTATATTTTAGCTTATTGAATTCTTAGTGACTAGATATCGGAAATCTTTTTGTAGTCCTGATAACAGTAGGACTACTTAACATAACATTCATCATATTGTGAACAACTGCAAGCCTAAATATAAATAGCAGTAGACAAATTTGGCAGCATCACAAGTGTAACAAGTTTAAGGTATAGGCCTTCAGGCCTACACTAAATTTCCTCATACCTTTAAGCCTATTCCTTTTTGTATATAATAAAATATTATCACAGTGGTGACTTGTAATAAAGAATAGTCTCTGTGAAACAGCCTGCATTTGTGCCAATTAATATTGCAGTTTTAGTCATTTTACCACAACCAATAATTTAATTACTATCTTTCTTTCTTTCTTTCTTTCTAAAATACAATTTCAATTCTAAACTACTAAATAAAATACTCACCCTCTAAAATTATACTGTTTCTGAAAGATTTCCAAATTGGCACACCATTTAATGTTGGCAAGTCTTACTTTAACAGGTTTCTAGCTCTATGCAAGTTTTATTTGTCACTTCTTCTAGGTGAAAAAGTGCGTTTTCATTTGTGCAAGGGAAAGTTTTGCTGCTCACTGTGTAATCTGTGTTGATAAGAAAGGTTTTTACCTGGTAGAGCTTTGAGCTTGTGCTTTTCAATCCACATTTGCCCATTTTCACATGTAATCAACATTGTAAACATGTGAAAAGTTTTTAGCACAGAAATTCAATAACGTAAATGAAAGAGGGCCTAAACCGATCAGCATTTTCTGACCTTGAGTAACGCTGCAAATCTCAAATATTTAAAACAACTATTACACTAAAATTCCAGGTTTAGGGTGCCAGCTTCCTGTCCCTGACTCTGTGCCAGGTTAAATGTGGAGTCTCCTGTTTTAAAGCAAAGCATTAAAAGACTGCAGTCCACGCCGAATAACGCAATAGATTACTGGGAGAAATGATCACATGAACAATATCTGCAGTCATAGTCATATTTTGTGTCCAGCTGGTCCTTGTATTCAATCATAATTCAACCAAAGATCAGACAGAAAATGCCTGACTTGTACAGACATGGTTGACATTTACTGAAGACTTTAATAATATGATTTTAACTGCGTACATAACAGGATTATACAATAAAGGGCTATAGCTCAGAATCTTCCTCCAATTGCCAGATTCCTAGAAGGGTGCACCTCACATGATGACAAATCACTGGAATGGAGGGGAAAAGGTTACCTAAAAGAGACTACCTAGAACTCAGATCATCTGTTTACCATGAAGATAAACCCTAAAAATATACCTTGGTTAATCTTCTTAAGGGGTGTGTGGTAGGAGTTAGTGTTTGACTGCCTGAGAGACAATGTGCACACATACACTTGTGCACACATACACTTACACACACACACATTCGTGCGAGCGCTGAGTCAGTCACAAAGTCTTAGAGAGCGACTTAGTTACTGCAGTTCAACAGAAGGCTTTAACATCTTGAGGTGTGCTTTATGGTTTCTCACTTGGAGTCAGTGTGCAGCCTGAACTGTTTGGCTACAAGCCTCGACAGCACGAGTATGTCAGGCCTTCTCAACCTCAACAGCCTGGGCAAGATCTGCGGCTCCAGCCACAACAATGAAATGGTCGTTTTAGACCGGGTCAAAAGGAAGAACACAGTAAGGCGCATGTCAATTATTGAAGATGGTGAACTTGCAGAGGTTCTCTACCTTATTCCTAAACAGTCCATGATGGAGCAGCTGCCTTTCCTCAACCCCGATGACTACATCCTGTGTGAAAAGATGGCTAGCATGCCTGCAGAGATGTTAGGTAAGGAATGGTTTACTTCCTTATGTGGGTGATCAGTTGTTATATCAGTGAGTTACACTGTATAATTTGCATGACAAAAACCTATTGATTGTCAACATGCAACAACATGCAGGAAGATGATTACATTTAACATGCTGTGAATATGTTGAATATTATATTTCATGAATAGACAACCTGCAAAATCCTGTGTCTTGTATTTCAGTGAAAAAAAGATTAGGAATACTGAGGTCTACTAAACAAATTCTGCGTTGTGATAAAGGCTCTGCTTTATTTTTATTTACAATAATTCCAAGCCATTAGACAAAGCATAATATTGCACACAAGTAATATCATATCAGCACAGTTCTTTTTTTCTGAGCTCCAGGAAATAGGGAAGGTTTTTGGTCTGTCAGACTACAATATGGACATTATTGGTGCCCTGTCATGTGAGTAATTCACAACTCTGCTGAATCCAGACAAGCTAACTCATCCAGACTTGATTCAACCCATTGACTTTGTTTCAATTGACTACACAAACATAACACTTTGCATTCGCATCCAAAACAGCCACTGTTCAATTGGCAGACAAAACACACCTTTCCCCTACCTTTTCTTTATGATGAATTGACAATTTTAATCACAAATATGGTCAATATTGTGCTTAATTTATGTGGTTAAATGACATCAAGGCGTATTAACAACTTGCTGTTATTAAGCCTTCAGACTATGCAGACTAAAGAAGACTAAGTGAATCAGGAGACAGCACACTCATATTCAACTTGCTAGTTCCAAATAAAAAAAGAGGAGTTGCAAAATGCCAGAAAGTGAGTTATGTAAGCCAGAAATATCAGCAGCAGTAATGTTATGGCTTTGTCATCTGTACTAAACAACACTCCCATCATAGGTACACAAGTATTCAACATTTTGCAAAGGACAGAGCAGATCTGGATCTAGTATTTTTGAATGCATCATCAGTGTGCTGGTTATTATAAGTGAATGTCATCCACATATGTGAAGGAATTTAAAACTGATAAAGCTTGACAAGTTAGTGTTTTACCTCAAAAAACAAAATTTGTTGATAATACACAACTATATCAGCAACAAAAAGAAATATGGGAAAGACGAATACACACACACACACATGTTTGTTACTCTATTCCCGTGGGGACATCGCATTGACATAATGCGTTCCCTAGCCCCTCACTGTAACCTTAACCATCACAACTACATGCCTAACCCTTATCCTAACCCTAATCTAATTATAACCTGACTCAAGTCCCCATCGGTTAGTGTATATTCTGGTCAAAGTCCCCAATGGGATATAAAAACATGAAACACACACACACTTGTGCCCTCTGTGTTTTGGACCACCCCTTTTTGACTTGGACCAGCAGTTCAGTTAGTTCCTCTCCTCACTCTGATCCACTGCAGAGAGCGCTCCCACAGAGAGACCAACTGTCATGAAAGAGAAAGGTACTTTTGAAGAGTGTATGCACAAGAGAGTGTGTCAGAGGATGAGCGAGAAGGATGTGTGTCTGATTGTGCATATTGCTTTATGTTTGTCTTAACATACTTACAATGATTTGTTATCAACTTTTTTTTGTATCTGAGGTTCATCCATGATTACGGTTTTTGCTCACAGTCTTTTTGGCCTTTTATGTGAGGTGGCATTTGATTGTTTTAAAAGTCAAAACAAATACTTCTCATGACTTTGTCTTAACTGCTCCTGCAAATAGTGTTCTAATATGATTGTGTTATACATTGTGTTACACTTGGCAAGGCTTGGTTGATGTTTGGCTATTATTTTATGCTGTATGTTTTCATATTTTCGATCTGTTAAGATTCTCAAACCATTCCCAAACCTAGAAATTGAATTTGCAGATAAAAACTGTGGTTGCCAAGTGGGGAAAAGAGCAAACACAGCTGCTGCAGCTAATCGTAGGGCATCATGGTTGGGTAAGACCAACATGTGATTTTAAACAGTACTTCTGAAAGTAAGCAGTATTTAGCTGCAAATATTCTATTTAACAGGGTAACTCTTTACTCAGTCAGCGTGAAGTTATTTTCACTTGCACAGCAGTAATATGAGACATCACATTGTGAGAAACAAAACCTCTCACTCATTTCACTAAACTAGCTTCTGTTGAGATAAAAGCCTCGTGCTGTTCTGATACTGTAGTGTGATGTCCTCAAGAAACTCCTGAAATTTCTTCACTGAAACTGAATGGAGGTAGCTTATTTGAGCTTTTACATTTATTTAACATCTCACTGTTACTGAGCTTTAAGTGTTGTTAGTAAATCTAAATCAAAGCATGGACACATGCCCTAGGTATCCTGGGAGCCATTCCAAGTTATAACATCCAGTCAGATGGTTTCCAAATAGTTTTTCATTGATTCCATTATGTTCCTGGCAAACTGGGTGTTCCTCCCAGTAGATGAGGACCTGCAGTGAAAGTTTTACAAAAAAAAGGCTGCAAAAAGCTCTAAATCTAAACACTCTCATTCTGTCACATCTTCTTTACCGTGCCAGTTTCTGGAGGATTACCAAAGCTATTTATTTTTTACATTACTAACAATGAAACAATCCAGCAAATTTAAGGGAAACACAAGAGTTATTACTAAAAATGATTATTCACACATACAGCGTGACCAAATACAGCTTGTAGCATATATAAATGTCATTATATGACCTCATTGTACTGATATAGATAGTCACTCAGTCCTTACACACACACACACACACAGATGCAGATTTTCATAGCTGGAGACAGTGGGTTTCGTGATTAGCTGTCCATCTCAGGTTTCTCTCCATTTGCTATCTTTCTAAATCTATCATTTGTTAATACCTGACACTGTATCAACTTCACATTCTGGGAGAGATCAAGAAAGAGTGGAAGCCATTTTGGACATTATAGTATAGCATGTCTTTCTCCAATCAGTTTACAACATAACAAAACTTTCAAACATTTCTAAATCGTAGCAATTATTCTGTGCATGTCCCCATGGTACATTTGTGTTGGCACCAACAGCTCTGTCATTAGCAAATATCTGAGGCGTTCTAGGACAAAAGGCCAGTTTGGCCTTTTCATTCATTGTTGGTGTGCTATGGCCAAAAGGACACGTTACATTCCTTCTAGGCTTTTGTTAAGTCTGGCAGAAATAATAGTTATTTTCACTTATTTTATCTGATTACATAATCACAATCACACAACGTCTTTCTACTTCTCTTCTACTGCCAGATATAATCTCACAATTTCAAGAAAAAGTATGGCTGAAATCAAAGCCTTTCTTCTTAATATGACAATAACTACCTTTTTGCTTTTATAAAAAATGACGGTAAATGACGGTGTGTGTTGTCTGCAGATATCACATGCTTGTGCTAGCGCTGTAGTTGTTTATTGGATGTCTTACTTAATAGACTTCATTGCACCTGTGCAGGATGTTATGTTGTGGATTAGGCTACTAGTCTTTGTCACATACAAGATGGATACTTTTTCATCACAAATAAAGTCTGCATTACAGCAGCTGGCCTATAAAAGAAGTTTATAATTACCACAGCAGTTTGATTTGTGTCTTCAAAACTGTACAATCACAGTGAACTTTAGATTCACTTTTGGGAAGCATGGTCTCTTAATCTAGTTTGCTACTACACACATGTTACCATAGTGACAAATCTCTGTTGTGGGGCAGAGTTGGGGCCACATACCAATGGTGCTTGACTCAATTTTCTCAATATTCACAAGGCCGAGTTGAGTAGTCGCAACAGTCCTGAAAATATTTCCCCTTCCAGCTGTAAGTGTGTGGAAATCTTTTTAGACACAACTCATCCATGTTAGTGCAGTGAGTTATAGTTCCACTGTATTTAGTTAACACGTTGTTTTGATGTTTCTGTGGCCAACTGTATGTGAAAAAAGAAAAGATAAAGCTCGTCTCCATTTATATTTGTATGCTGTGTGTCCACACACTGGGAGACGGAGTGCTCTCGACGTGCCACATTCTTTCCTCTCTCTCCTCTGCTAATCACATTCAAGACCTCTCAAGTGGGGCCGTGATTAGATTGTACAGGCATCCACTGCTTCTGCTGCCATATAAAACATGAAAGAGATAGGACAAGGAACGAGGTTGAGCTTTCTTGCTACAGTATCAGACACGGTGTAGAATACTCGCACTAAAATTGCTGCCAGATCAAACTTTTTAACACTCTGTCTGTCTGTCTTTGTGGGGTACTCCACAGATTACTGTGACTGTGTGTATATGAACGTGCGTTTCTCTGCCAAAGCAAAGCGTGTCTACACATTACATTCAGTCATGTAAGCACTAACTAGACAATTCTGCTGTATTATCATGAGCTGCCTGGGCAGAAAAAGATAAACCTACTATGGATGAAAGAGACCTTTACACTGAAATGAAATTTTAATTCATGGTTTTACACAATGAACGTGATTTTAGCCATGCTAGCAGCATGGCCGTGGGAATGGATCACCATGAATCAATCCCAATGGCTTTGGTGATCCATTCAGTTTTCCCTGTAGCAAAACAAGCAGACAGCAAAGCTTTCACTTCTTTGGTGAAATATCTCAGCATTTACTGGATGGATGGGCATAGCAATTTGTACAGACATGTATAGGTCCTAGATAATGTATAGTATTGACTTTGGTGATCCCTGATGTTTCCTCTTCTTGACAGCTATTGGATGGATTAGCATAAAAATGTGTTAAACACACAAAAACTAAGTTTAGTGTGATAAAATAATGTTTAAATAATGTTTACCATGTTAAACATGGCATTCTGTTTGCTCAAAGCACTGCTGTACAACCTCACAGAGCTGCTAGCATGGTTGTAACACAGATACATTATTGTAACAGATCGCTTTGCTAAATAGACTGGAACAAAATTACTTGCCAACATGAGGTGACTGTCACTTCATTAAAGCCCAATATTATTGGTATTTACAAGAGGCATAGAGCTAGTAGGTTAAAGACTAAGACAGTTAATTTGACTTTTTTTTAGGCACTGTAAAATTACATTTAAATGTGATGCTGATATCATTTATTCTTCCCTCTCCTAGTGCTACAAACTCAGGATGGCTCCCACCTAAGTCCTCCAGCCCCAAAGAGGGTCATCCAGTGCCTCAGATGTGGGGAGCCATGTAAGGGAGAGGTGCTGCGAGTCCAAAACAGCCACTTCCACATAAAGTGCTTTACGTGCAAGGGTGAGTAGATGTAGGTGCACTTGTGTAGTATCCTACAGGCAAACCTCAGTGAGAATGGACATTATCAGGCAAGCTCAATGGTGGAATCCCTGTTGGTGTTCTGTGTCTAAATTTGGACATTTGGGAAACCTAAGAGCGATCCAATCAACAGAATTCCTCATGTGCAGTGGAAATGAATTGGTGGCTGTCTTGAACACATGTTAGAATTTAATTCCTGACTTTTGCTCCATATCACTTCTTTTAAAAAAAGGCTGCTCTGTGACATGAATGTCAGAGGCCTTATACATTTTGTCTACATTAGTTCTGGACTGTGGTGGGGTTTATTAAAATAGGAATTTAAACTGTGACATTTCCAGATGGTTTATTTTCCAGTGTTGACTCAGTTAAATGAAAATAATGCTTTAACAATTTTTCATGCAAGCACTAAAGCCTTGCATTAAAACACCTTATTAAGGTGCATTAAAACACCTTATTAAGGTGCATTAAAACACCTTATTTTCAGTGGAACCATATAATGCAACCATGTTGCATTAAAAGACCTTATTTTCAATGGATTAGTTTTAAATTGAGCTGAATTTGCTGGTCATTTATTACTCTAATTCACTTTATTACACAATATCTACATTTACAATGGGCTGTTGTGGGCTGTAAGACAGTCATTCGCCAGAGTTACTCTGTTTGGTGGAAAACATATTTCCTCAGCAGGCTTTTGTCCTCACTAATCGACAGTGACAATCTTCTTGTGTTGTTGCCCTCTCATTGCATTGTGATGGTGTTTACAGCGCAGAGGAAACAAAGAGACTTTCAGAGCAGAGAAGCCTGCAGTATTTTAACAGTGGGAAGACCTGGGGCTTGAAAGGGTCTGTGGGCTTCACTGAATAACTGAATTTGACTCATAGTGTTTCACTTTGAATAGGAATAAATCTGAATTCAAATAAGCCATAGGGAATATTAGCAAAGGTTTCTTAACTACTTTGCTTGGTTTTAGTGATCCATAAAAGTTTTATCAAAATTATTTTTAACTGTCTGGTACAGAAAGAAGGGGTATTACAATTGAAACAATGATAACAATAATAAACAATGGGATATTGTTGTGTTGGTATTAGAATTAGTATAAAAGTAGTTAAGAGTCTAAGGCACTCTTTATTTATGCAGATGTTGCAGATAGATGTTTTAAGTATTGAACACCAAAAGATTAGTAAACATGCATCTGCTTTTTCAATAGAGTTATTTATATGTAATTTCTCTGAAACAATCTGTAGGATCAGAGGAGTGTTGGCACATGTTTTTGCATGTTTTATTCAGCATTACAAATACATGTCTTTTTGAATGAAACCTATATACATTGTCCGTGAGTTGTAGTAGAATAGGAATAGAGCAGCATAAATCTTTGGCATCTCAGTGTTTGGCAACTCTGTTGTGGCGTGTTCAGAGGGACAGTGTCAGAAATGGGTTGGGAGTATCAAATGACTCTGAACAAGCATTGTATCCCTGTCAGTAACTTGTCACTGGGCTTATCAGCAAACAAACACACACAGACACACAGTTGCACACAAACACATAAACACTTCAGAAAGCCTAGCAGAATCATAAGTCAGACAACCCAAATAGCAATTATGTCATCCCTTTGATAGATTACGTAGTTGCCTGAAAAAAGTGATGATTTAACCTGTAAATTCAGTTTCTGACCAAAATACAAAACAAAATTCAGTTTATACTATCTTATAGTAAGAAGTTACAAATACCTTGTCCCAAAGCTCTTTCCAAAAGAATTTTTTAAAAACACTCGCAAAATGTTTTTATGTCAGGCAAAAGTCAAGGTAAGCAAAGCAATACACATACATTAAAGGCAAAGAAAAAAAACTCCAGAAGACTGAAATTAAGAATGAGTTCTGGCTACTACAGGGTCAAAAAGTTAGTCAATACAAATACTAGGCAACTAAGAGGATTCTATTGCAATTGTTGTATTTAGTGTAAAACAGATATGATGGCAGGTCTACTGAATGAGGCAGGAGAACTAAGGAAAATGTAAGTGAATGTAAGTTCAGTAAATTGTCATAGCAAATTGATTTGTTAAAGATGTAACAAGATGAAAACACACACATATTATCACATCATAAAGTTATGATAAACAAGTTTAACTGAACTTGATCTAGTCTTCACCAACTCCACAGAAAAATCTGTGTGTTAGCTCTTCACAGGCTGTATTTGCTTACCAGCTAGTCATTGGGTCTATCAGAGCTGTTTTGACAAAAACAGTTGCCTGCTGCATCTGAAAACTAGGTTGATGAGTTGAGTCATGAGCCAGAAAACCAAAACAATGAACTAAAAGAAACTAAAAGTTGCCATAGAACTGCAGAGTTGGGTGATGATTCTCTGTGGGTTCATCGCTAGAAGCAACACCTTTCACATTACACATAATTACAATAATTTAAAAATATTAATTATTGCATATCTTTAATGTATTCTGTTGTTATTAAACCTTGTCATCTCTTTCTCGTGTGTGTGTGTGTTTGCAGTGTGTGGCTGTGACTTGGCTCAGAGTGGCTTCTTCATGAAGAATAGAGATTACCTCTGCCCGCTAGATTTCCAGAGGCTCCACGGCACGCTCTGCAACAGCTGTGGGGAATTTGTGGAGGGAGAGGTGGTCACAGTCTTGGGGAAGAATTACCACCCAGCCTGCTTTGTGTGCACTATTTGCAAGTAATTGGGAGTTTTTGTTGTGCACGCCGGTTTGTAGGCAGAATAACACATTTTTTAAAAGAATTGTGTGGTAAGTAAACCTCTGTCTCTTTCTATGTTTCTCAGAAAGCACTTTCCTGCTGGGGATTGTGTTACCTTCAGGGGAAAAGACTGCATCTGTCAGCACTGTATTCAGCCCATGTCTCCTACTCCCAACGACATCACCTATCCTAGAAGTAAGTGCATTCTGGTGGAATTTATTCTCCAAGCAAGGACATTTGATCCACTGTTCATGTAAAAAATATTTATAAATAACGCTTTAAAATAGATCAAAGACTTTGATCCCATGCAGACATAATCAGACAGTGGATTATGCACTGAGAATTGGCCAGCGGTGGCTCCTATGCCAGCCTGTTTATTTAGTTTATCTCAGGCTTCAGTGTCATTCAAGGTCAGTGCTACATCTGTCAGACTCCTTCATCATAGGGAGCTCAAATCGTTGCACTTTTCTGCAGGTGACATGTCTCATTACATGCGTGTACTTTCTTTCTCGTTTCATTTTTGAAAGTCCACAAGAGATCTGCTTGCCACGCAGGTAAAGACATGAACTGGACAGGACCTGATGTACAACTGTCATCCAGATTATTACTTGTAACATCTGAAAAGTCTTCCTCATGTATGGAGCTACTTTTGTGTCTTTATTATGTGATCAGAAAATTGGTTTGAGAGCAAAACTCTTCACACTCACAAATTTGTGATTAAAAATGTCATCCAAAAGCTTTGTCTGCAAATCCAAAAGTTAGTAATAACAAGAATGCTGTGGGGAAAAGACTTGCCAACAGAGATGTGTCTTTCGTACGTCCCACCCACAAGGTATCAGCACAACATTTTTGATTTGTTAAACTTTTAGACCCATAGACAAAGCTTTTGAATTTGAAAAAAAAGAACTTTGGGATTTGCAAATAAAACTTTTTAAAATTAAAATGTATTAATTACAAATTTGTGATAGTGGATAGTTTTGCTCTCAAAACAATTTGTTGATATTAAAGACACAAAAGTAACTCCATACTGACCATACTCACGTCCACACTTTTTGTCAGGAATGCAGGCTAAACAGTTTACCTCCTCCTGGTGGACATATTTTTCACAACACTTGTTGAGTTGACATTACCTTACAAATTCATCCACAACGTCATCCTCCTGGGATCCTGCCAAATGACTCAGTACGGACGAAGAGATACATTAGAGCTCAACTCTCCGCTTCAACGTGACCTTCACATTCCAACTAACAACTATAGATAGAACAGGGGCCAAAAGAGGATCCAGACTCACAAATCCCCTGGATTAAGAGAAACTTTCTGTAGGGCTGTACAGAAAATGTACAGGAAACAGCCCAGCTACTTAAATAGTTCTGTAATGTCAGATGGACTCTTACTTTCAATGTTCAGTTTATACATGTATATGAAGAAACAAGACAAACAAACAAGAGGAATGGAGGTACTTTTTCTTATGTATGTAGAAATTGTTGGGATGTCCGATGTTTACTCAAGAATATGTATGTATGTGTGTGTATTTTTCAGACTGCGCTGGCTGTGGTAGAGACATCAAGAATGGCCAGGCTCTGTTAGCCCTTGGTGGCCAGTGGCACCTTGGCTGCTTCAAGTGTAAAGCCTGCAGGAAAGTGCTGAGCGGAGAATACATTAGCAAGTAAAAACTCTCATTCATACTTTCTCTTATTCATAATTCTATTAAATGTATTTTTCCCAACAAGAAAGGCTAGAATCAGAAATTATGTTAGCATCCGTCACAACTAATACACAGATAAGTGTGTTTATAATATTAAGGGTTTTTAATCTTTCAGGGATGGCGTTCCCTATTGTGAGAGGGACTACCAGATTCAGTTTGGGGTACAATGTGAAGCATGCCATAAGTACATCACTGGAAAAGTCCTAGAGGTGAGAAATGATTCTTCAGGCTCCTGATGTTATCTATACTTTGTGACATGCCTTTTCTCAAAAGTAATTTTTTTCTTAAGTGCAATTAACATGACTTGATACTCCTTTCTAATTTTTTTGCTACAGGCAGGGGACAAACATTATCACCCCACCTGTGCAAGATGTAGCCGATGTGACAAAATGTTCACAGAAGGTGAAGAAATGTATCTGCAAGGTCAGTTTGAGAAATTAACTATGTGGCTATACATACATCCATGGTGTGGATTTGGGCTCAAATTAATGCATACATAGAAAGTGTTTATTCAAGTGAATAAACACTTTCAATCACTTTTGCCATAATGGCTGCCACACTAACTGTCCCTGCC